AAAAAAAAAAAAAAAAAAAAAAAAAAAAAAAAAAAAAAAAAAAAAAAAAAAAAAAAAAAAAAAAAAAAAAAAAAAAAAAAAAAAAAAAAAAAATTCAAAAGTGGAACAGTAAAAGAAATCAAAAGCTCATCAAAAACAAACTTAAAAATTGGAAGGTAAAAAACTAGGTAAGATTGAAGTAATAATAAAAAGGAGATACGCAGAAAAACAGGGTAAAAAGAAAAGAAAAGAAAAGAAATTTCTTTCCTATTATTTTTACAGTACCATTTTGTGGGTGTGTTGGGTGGGTGTGTCTGTGGGTGTGTGTGTGGGAAGAAGTAAGAAGGAACAAAAGGGAAAAAAAAATCACGATGTTAATTCACTTCGCATTCTAAGTACAAGCAGTACTGACTTGACTTCCTTGGGCTGACTCGCTCTTTTCTCTCGCGCTCGCTCTCTTTCCTTTTCCCTGTTCCTCCTCTCCCTCTTTAATTCTATCGATTCCTTCTGGTGATGCCCTTGTCCTCCTCCTTCCCCCTCATTTCATTTATCCCCTCAACTTCTCCCTCGGTCTTCAAAGAGGAAAAAGGAATAGGTCGTGTCTTTTAAGCGGGCCCACCCGTTGCTCTCATCTCAACTATGCCCGCAACATGGCGATGAACCGGTAACCTGTGGACAAAGAGAAAAAGAGGACGAAAAGCAAAAGCCGACAAAAGCCAAATCATCGCCATATCAACACCGTCACTGACATCAACCCAACGAACATCATACCACCCCTGAAATCAAGCACACATCGTACTCTCGCTGGATGGTCAAACCGTGCATTTGCCTGGACGTTTCCTTTCTTTTTTCCTTTTAGTTTTATCGCTCTTAATCCTCCACCCCCTGACATGACCGCATCGACTCAGTTGGCAAGACAATCGCTCTCCTGTGCTTCCGGCCTTGAACAGGGAGCGTCGACGCTTTGACTTCAAGCGCTGCAGAATGCCGCCTCAACCATCCCTCGTCCCAGCAGCCCCTCCAACTGCTGAGGATGATCAGCTCGCCGCCACAATCTGGAGGAAACGATTCGAGAAAAGACCTCTTTCACCGTAAGGCCTTTACCACTTTTCTACAAATTTTCTATCTATTTTATTTTGTTTTTTTTCTATCTTGCAGCCCGTTTTTCTCTCCTCGCTGTTCCCGTTGTTCCCCCTCATTCCCCGCCTCCTTTCTTCGTTTTCCATTTTGAAATATAGAATTCAATGATCGGCGCACACATACCTTCTCGCCCGATCCCCTCTTGTTTTTTCACATCAAAGCCCAGCTGATTGGATCACTTCCGTCCACCGTCGATCGTTACCCATGGACCGTTATATATGGCTAATTCCGACGCAGACATCCGGTAATTGGGATACTCGACGTGGAGTACAACGAATTGGCCCAGTCCTGGAAGAGATTTCAAGAAAATCTTCCCCTCGCCGATCACGTCGAATTTCAGGAACGGCCGCAAACTTCTCACGATGTGCAGGCGGTGGTACGCAACGTGCAGACCCGGTGGCTGTCTCACCCGAGACAGCAAGTATTTAGCCGTTCGATGACGCTCTGCGACACTTTTGTGGAAACGATAGATCCCCACGCAGTATTGTTGATGACCCTTCCCAAGAATGAGTCCTACCGATCCCTCTTCTATGGTGTCCTGCAATCGATCATCAAGGTGAGCCTTTGCGACTTGCCGTCGAGCTCAAACCGCATACTAAACAGGCTTGGCAGGCGTCGGCAAACTATCCTAGAATCATGGAAGGCGTCATCCGGGCACTAGTGAAAGTCAACCAATCGATTTGCCTCCCACCGGGAAGTGATGGCCTAGCTTTCCCCACGGATTCAATCACTTCCATTGCGAAATTTTATTCTTTGACGTTCTTCTTTCTGGGGGAGTTGATGGACTGGTATGTAAGAAGGTCCAAGTGTCGTCTTCTACAGTGCCTGCACCAAGATGTATACTTGAACTTTCGGTACCTTATTTGGAGCATCCGAAGCAGCGCCATACACATCATTGGCGGACTGGTCGATGGCATGGATATGGACGACCCGAAGTATGAAAAGAAGCGGAAGATCATGCAGAGCAGCGACCTCTACCTGTGGGAGGAGACGAGATTGAGCCAAGTCGGTCTACAAAAGTGGGACCGTCGGATTATCGCCCAGACCGCCATGACCCGTCAATTGATATGGGAAATTCAGCACGATGCGGCAGAGCGACTCCAGCTAAGGTCCGAAAGCCACCTACTTCTCCTGCAGATGCTCGACTTGACCAGCAAGCGACTCCGCTCCGTCACCCAGCAAAACAGTGGTATCGCCTGCTTAACGACGACGGTCGCACAGGACATAGGTATGCAGGGTGGTGACCTCGGGACAGACCTGGCGTCGGAACTGACATTGATAACGTCACAAGAAACGTCCAGATTCAAATGGTCATCAGGACCTAAACATAAATATACTCGGGTAGAGTTGCAGCTCGCCTCTAAACACCTTCAGGACTTTTTCCGGAACGATGACCAAGTGACCGACCTTGATTCCGATGTCGATGTGATCGCCGAGGACAGTGTGGTGGAATCCTTGCAGCAGTGGGCAACTAATGTTCATTCCCAAGTCCTCGCCATCGGTGGCTCCCCATCCACTGCCTTTCCCAGTCCGGTCGCCCTCGTCTCGGCCTGTTACGCCACTTTCGCTCGCAAGGCGAAGTTGCCAGTCATCTCCCATTTTTGCTCCCTCCCCACTGAAGAACGAAGTGGGATGACCTTGTTTGAACAAGGTCTGATATCGCTCGCCTATAGCCTTATTCGACAATTGATCGATTACCTGCCTCCGGTCTTGGAAGGCCACGCCGCTTGCAATCTCAATACAGAACGCTTCAGCCCATTAAATGGCACGATGACGAGCTGGAAAGAGGTGCTATCGCTCATCGACATGCTGTTGTACCTGGCCCCGCCCGTCCTCGTCTGCATTATTGACGGCCTCGATGTCCTCGAAGATTCCTCGACCGATGGACAGATCCGGTCCCTCGTTCGGACGCTTTTAACCCACACGAGACATCAGACGGCCCCGACGGCGGACGGGAGCCAAAATCAGGATGTGCTGCTGAAAGCGCTCTTCACCGTCGCTGGACGACCGAACACACTCGTGGAGACCCTTTCGGAGAACCGTCTGATTCTCAGTGAGTCCAACCAAGTCAGCCAGTTGGCATCGACCGATGGGGCACTGAATCCTGATGTCGGGATTGTCATGATGAATGCATGAAGTAATAAATTGTCGAACTATGAGCGAATATCCTGCATTTTATCCTGTTTCCACTTCTTTTCTTACCTTTCTTCTTCTCCGTTCCTCTCATCTTGCAAGATTGTTTGACTTTTCGGGCGAAAATTCGGGTCATTAATAGATTTGCACGGGATGGGCTTCCTTTGAATATAACATTGCTTGGAGAGATATAGCACAGTCTTCTTCATTGTTCATCTTTGCCAGGGTGCTCGGATTTGTCTTTTCTGCGTGACTTTACTTACACCATTTGCCCCCCCTCTGTTTGTGCTGTTCTGCTTGATCGACGGTGGCATATTCTGATGGATCTTCTGCTCTGGGGGGAAGAAAGCGCCTTTGGCCGGCTGTAATCTTCTCTACTCTGTCATTCTGTGGCTTGTGGGGGTGTCATGGAGGGATTAATTGTACATGTGTATTAATACTTCTATGATGATGATGGGAATGCATGACGAAGTACATATTGTTTTCTACCAGTGCGAATTCCATGGATCGACAGTCTTCCTTCGATATAGTTCTCCATGAATTTGAACAAGTTCCCCAGGTATTAATGTGTTAGTCATCCGGAGATTGGTTTCCGTCCCGCATGCCTGAGGCTGCACCTGGGGGCGCCTTGTTGTTCGTGTATTTCTCCAGATTCTTCATACTAACGATATAGAGATGATTGGCTCTGGTGGAGCACTAGTGGACGCAAGGTATAGAGTCGAGGCAGTCAGAACCTCGCCCGACGAAGCTGCTCCCCACATTGCCTCCCTCAACATCTGGGGTTTCGGAAATTCAGGCCAGAGTCAGCCAGAGCCTTCGTTTTCGGAATTGTACTCCCATCCCCAATTATATAAACCAGTCCATCGTGAACCGAAGGATCTCACCCATTCCACTTTTTCTCTCAACCTACTCTACCACCCACCGTAAAACCACCATGACCGTCCCAAACGGATCCCACAAAACCGTCCCCAGCCGGTTATTCCAGCCCGAAACCCCCAACCTAGAGGACTTCAAGAAAATCTGCTCCCAAACCACCGACCACACCACCTACCCACTGGCAGCCTCCGTAGACCACAACATCCCCATCTACGATGCCCGAGCCCTGGACCTGCACAACACCTCCCTCACCACTACGCTCCAAGACGAATGGTACCACATCCTGAGCACGGGGCCAGGCATCCTCGTGCTCAAAGGCATGTACGACCCAGCGCACTACGCCTCCACCCTGGACAGCACCAACGCAGCCTTCAACAGCATCATCACGCGCGAACGCGCTACCGCAACCACGAAAGGCGACCACTTCGCCGCCAGTGGCAAAAACGACCGCATCTGGAACTCCTTCAGCAAGCACGCACTCGAGGACCCCTCCTCCTTCATCACCTACTACTCCAACCCGTGGCTGCGGCTGGTCAGCGAAACCTGGCTGGGCCCGGCCTACCGCGTCACCGCGCAAGTCAACGTCGTCAAGCCCGGCGGCGCCGCCCAGGACAGCCACCGCGACTACCACCTCGGCTTCCAGGACCTGCACACCTGCGCCGCCTTCCCGCGCAACATCCAGCTGGCCAGCCAGCATCTGACGCTGCAGGGCGCCGTCGCCCACAGCGACATGCCGCTGCAGAGCGGGCCCACCCGCTTCCTGCCCTTTAGCCAGACCTACGAGCCGGGCTATCTGGCCTGGCGCCGCGACGACTTCCGCGCCTTCTTCCAGGACAACTATGTCTCGCTGCCGTTGGCCTTCGGGGACGGCCTGTTCTTCAACCCGGCTGTGTTCCATGCCGCCGGCGCCAATGAGACGGAGCCCGGTCCCGATGGCGGGTTTCATCGTAAGGCCAACTTGCTGCAGATTAGTAGTGGGCTGGGCAAGGCCATGGAGAGTATTGATACCGTGCCGCTGGTGGAGAAGTGCTGGGACGCGCTTTTGAAGACGTTCCAGGACGCTGGTGGCAGGTTGGATGCTGGGGTGGAGAATTTCGTCCGCGCCGTTGCGGATGGGTATCCGTTTCCTACTAATCTGGATAGGAGGCCGCCGGCACCGAATGGTATGGCGCCCGAGAGTGAGCAGGAGATTATTATCAGGGGGTTGCGGGAGGGGTGGGGGACAGAGAGGGCGGTCGAGGAATTGAGGAGGATGAAGGCGGATTCTTGTGCTTAATATCTTGAACTTGGTGCGCGGGTGAATAGTGTATTGGGCTGTTGTGAGGTTGTTTTGCTTTAGCGATAGTCATTATGATGCGATGTATATTGTGTACAGAATTCACGGAAATTATACCGTGTTTTGAAAATCATCCTGGTCTAGTCTGGAATGCTGTGGAGTATCTGAACATGCTATATCAATATGCATAGTACCTCGCATCCAAATGGATACATATACACCGAGATCTACAAAGCTGTGTCTTGTATAGTAACACAGCCTGAATCAAGGAGTAGTGAACATCACCTCATGAGTCACCAGTCCCACAAATACGAACCGATCAACAACACCAACCCGATGACTCGCATCTTCATACGAACTCTACACTACTTACCTGGGTCATCAGCCCAGAACTCAAGAGTCGCCATAAAACCCTAATCCAACACCCAGAGCTACAAACACCAGCAAGCACCCATCCCAAAACTACAATTACACCACTACACCACCACACCACCAACAGAATGCCACGCAAAGATCTCAGAACAAAACCCACCGAACATGACCAACAAAAAGACCCCTTAAAAAGAAACCCCCACATAGCCACAACCCCAACCCACATCTTCTTCCACGGCGGCCCCCTCTCAAACTGGCACCCCAGCACGCCGCGCTTCCCAGGCCACAGAGCCCTGACCCTGTGTCTACCAGACCTAGACGCTCTGGGCATCCCGCACCCGTCGCCAAACGCGGCCGTCACACGACTCATCCGCTCATGGTCATTCAGCTGCGGCGAGCAGTGGATGATGGCGATGAAGGGGTGGTTATTCGAAGAGATTCCTGGGTTAGATTCGGGTGTTGATATCTGTGATGAGGAGTTCGAGGCTGTGAGGGCCGTGGCGGTGGGTATCTCTGAGCCAGCGCTGGAGTGCCACCGGGAGAGGGCGATTTGGGAGTCGACGGTTGCGAGCGTGTTGAGGACGACACAGCCGAGGGTGCAGAAGGCGTTGGGGCGCGCTGCGGAGGGGTTTCGCGAGGATGTTTGGGAATATGCCAGCGAGGTGATCGTTACGGCTGGGTGTGTGGCGAGGGCGGAGGTGGATTCGGCGCTGAGGGAGGTGTATCTTGCGAGTGCAGGACGGAAGTTTGTGGAGGGGAGTGTCAGGGATCGTGTTTGGGGGGTTGGGTTGAGGTGGGATTCGGCTGAGATTCAGGATGAGGCGAATTGGAAAGGGAAGAATCGGTTGGGGAGGTGTCATGATGAGGCGGCGAGGGTTGTGAGGTTGAGTTCGTAGGTTGTTTTGTATGGAAATGGTTCTTGGGAGGAGTAAGCTGGTTATGGAATTTACTGTTATTGTTCGTCTATGGAGATGTATAGCGAGTAATGACCGGGACCGGATCCTATGGCATCCTTTGCTGCTAAAGACAGACACAATGAGATCGTCCAGTTGGGCTTTTTGTCCCATTGGTAGCATATCTGGTAGCAGGCCGCGGGAGATCAGGGAAACCTGAACGGCGTCGAACTTCTTATCTAACACGCTGATCGTCTGATTGCTTCATGATCCCCTCAGATAGCTCCGCACTGCTGCTCTTGACGATGCAGCAGGGGTCAATCCAGATATAGTCAAGCCCATAGGACCGCGCTTGCCCAAATGCTCCTTGGACCTTTGGCCATGAGGAATTTCTTTGTTCGGTGTGATGTTGCATATCTGTGAAAAGAACCTCATGCTCTTCCCAGGCGTGGGACAGGATTGCATATCTGGGGATACGGTCCGGCGTAAATTCCACCAGTTGAATGGTAGAGTGTTTAGTAGACGCATTTTATCATACGACTATATCGAAACAAGAGGTAGTTATAAAGAAAATCGACCAAGGGAGAGAAGGAATTGTCTGAGGTATGGAAGGATATATTGGTTGGAGGATGAACGAACAGTGTTAAAAAAAGATAGGGTTGTACTTTGTAAGAGCTGAACAAGGCTGGACTCAACTGACATAGCTTCGCATTGGTGCTTTGGCGCTTCGAGCCAAGGTGGTGTTGGGTATGCACCAGGACTGCAACAATTAACGGTCCTCCTACCAATTTCATTGCTCAATCGAGGAAGAAGTCGGTGGATTTTGACTACCTATATAAAGAAAATATCTCTATATAAATATCATAAAGCTCTTTATGCTAAGCTTTGACTCTCTTTCATATTGAGACTCGAAGTAGTTGCTTGATTCTTTACATCTAATACTTCAAAGGTCTAAGAATACTCTTCTTTCGAGTACGTAGAAAAGAATCGTCTCTATCTGAAGAGATAAAGGCAGCCATTTCAGCGAATTTGTATAAATTTACTACCACCGCCAGACTTAACCGCTTTGCCGATCATCACAACCAAGGTTAACTCCCCTGCTATCGAGGACTCGACATGATTACATATAGACTTGGCGACCAGCTGATATCCTTGGAGCTGCCCGATAGCACGAAAAAGGAGATTGACTTTACCGATAGCTCATTCTTCAAGACCCCAAATCGCCACCTCCCAACACCCGACCAGGTGAGAGCGATATCCCCAGATGTTCGGAACCGTTATAAAATAACGCCCGTCAGATTTGAGAATCTTAACCTGATTGTCAAATTTAGCGTTGATGTGACAACTGTCGAGGCGGTGAATCTTGGATGATCAAAAAGGTTTTTCAGAACGATGTTCCAGTGCCTGAGGTCTTTGGCTGGCGGGTTGATGATGAAGGCTTTGTGTTCATTTATATGGAGCTGATCAAAGGACCAACACTTGAGGAGTGCCGGGTGTGTTTGGACACTACACAGAAGAAGGCCATCACTGATCAGCTGTCAAGGATCATGGGGAATCTGCGACGACTTAAGCAAGACCCTTCCGATCCGTTCATCGGTAGGACCGAAAGTATTAAACCCTTTTAATATTCAGTAATTTACCACTGGTCAGGATCAATCAATCGGCAGCATCTTCTAGGCCGCACTTTCGAAAATCAACCGAAAACTGGCCCGATCCCCAGTGTCAAAGAGTTCAACGACTGGTTTGCTTTGTTACCCTCGATACGCTTCTGCCAGAGAGGTGATGATCCTTATCGATGCTTTCTTCCAGACACTGGCGAGATCAAATTCACCCATGCGGATCTGCACAAGGGGAATATGATCGTATCCTCCTTCGACCCAGTTCAGATTGTCATTGTGGACTGGGCGCAATCGGGATGGTATCCGGATTACTGGGAATACTGCAGAGCTTGCTGGGCCTGCATGAAGGGGGACGAATGGCATGAGGACTTTGTCGCCGAATTCCTGGAGCCTCGAAAGGATCTTTGTGAAGTTGTTGCTTATTATTGCTACGCAATAGGCTCGTATTTTTAATCTACATTCTGAAGGACCTACTTACGCGTATGTGGTGGCATGGCAGCCTTTGTTCAATGTTCTTAAAAGACCTGAATCGCAATAGAACAGTTATTCCAGAAGTACACTGTTAGCCCTCGAATAGCCTCTCGACATTATCAAAACCCATCCAGTAGTCGAAAAACCTTCATCCAGCGGTGCAACTAATTCCTCGCCTCTTCGACTTGGTAGACTTAAATAACAGGCTAAGATTATCGTAGCGTGGCAGATCAGCTCACTTATATACTCACTAGGAAGTGCTTACAGAGACAGGCTTATTGCTATGCTTGGCTTTACATGGTCTTTCAGTTACAGATGAATCATGTTTCGCATATTCGGTCTATTCTTTAGCTTGGTAATCCATTATACCCAAATTATTATCCTAAGAAACGAAACTGCGGATCCCAACAACTATCGCGATTCTTGTCAATCTCAATTCCCAGACCGTGAAGCTACTGGCCGTAGAACAATACCATGGGTAGGAGGGCCACGATTAGAATTAACAACATCAATCGCCTCCGCATCAATGTATCCCTTGTCAACCAGGAGCCTCACGTATTCCATAATCCACTCTTGACATCTTTTGTTGGTGGTCTGGATCGAATCATGGATCAGTGACACTTGCAGCTCATTGGTGAAAGAAAAGAACTTACATCATTAACGGGAGCCATAAAATTCTCACTGGCCCTGGGAGCTGGAACTTGGCAGGCGGTAGTCTCTAGATCTCCCCTGGGATCTTCATGAGTAGCGGTAAACCCATGCGGCCAGTCGTAAATGTGTGCAGAGTCTACCGCGCCAATAGGCCACATAGTGTACTTCTTGCTGATTGGAGTCGGGGCATGGCCTCGCCTGAATTGGTGCTTGAAGCCCTCCATAGGTGTACCGTCAACCTCAATCAAGCTGCCCTTCTCAGGATCGCTTGCTGAGGGAACCCAAATTGCAAAATGGGCACGTATATTCGTAGTACGTCGTATTGAGACGAGGAAGATGTCGCGTGGGGCCATTGTGGAGAATTAGTCTGGTCTCGGCGTCGGTGACTGCAAAAGGGATAAACAGATGTAGACACTGGAAGTTGAAGGCTTCAGAAGGTAGTTCTGCTAACTAGGTATATTCGTTCTTATCCTAAAAGCTATCTTCAACTATGGCCACTGTAGCTTCTTATATGTGTAAGGAAACAAAAGAGAACACGATCTGAGGAAGGAATAAATGTGAGCGCCACATATGTATGGCTCTTTTACTCAAAGTAAGCGCAATGGATGTGCTCAATAGTATTGCGATGGATCGCGGAATCGGAACGCGCTCCATGGATCAGGACGTTAGAAGTCACGTCCATGGTGAATCATAGTATGCACTTTGGCTCTTCTATGAAGACCACTCGCTGTCAGTATACGTCAAAGACGCACGCCTTTCCTAGGCGTCAGCTTTTGTTTTGCATCCAATAAATAGTTCTTCTTTGATTTCTCTAACCTCCAGCAATGAATAGAGTGCAATTGCACTTTAGGTTATTGGTTGGCAATCAGTCTATACAGTGTCCCTACCCGGAAAACTTGCCAATGATTCATAATTATACATGTGCATAGTGACCATATCTCCTATAATCATCGGCATTGAGCTAGATTAACCGACATAGTGGCTTTGTATCAACACAGACGGTAACAGCATTGTAGCCTGTGAGCAGAGTGATATCCACTGCCGTGACATGGATCTAAGCCCCGCGATGACACAAAGACTTCATTGCAGAGTCAATATGAAGATATTCCTCAGGGTGGCAGTCCAATCTGTTAACAGTCCTTTTGTCTGAGTATATTTTAAATGAATGTTGCTATCTGTGCTAACATTTCATTAACTGCCTCAGATCCTGCTTATACCTCGGTTGGTTAACGAAGAATGAAAGCATCCAAGACAAGTCTAAAGGGCACACAAGCAAGCAATATAACGTTACTCATGAGCAAGATCAAGCGATACCTCATACTCTGCACCTACTGCGGAGAAAGCTATTTCACACTGAGTTAGAAGCTCATGGATCAACATTCCTTTGTATTACTTTCTTTCTGTCTTTCTGTCTTTCTGTCTCTCCCTCTTTCGCAAGTCTGGCTATTTTGCAAGGGTCAGCAGAAATCCGTATTCTTAATTTGATGGAACCTCACCAGCCGTGTGATCCTTCTCTCTTCTTACAATACACTTGTCCATGCAACAATGCAACACAAAGGCAATGTACGCCCACACCACGGCAGTTCATAGCTAGTAGCTCGATAGCTAGCCAGCCCCATACACACCACATGCATACAAAGACAAGATACCAAACGGCATAACATTATCATTCATTACAACACACTACACTACAACGCAACCAGCCAACCCTAAGCCCTACCGCTTACTAGTCTGCGTAAACTCCCGATCCACGCGGATACCATTCAAAGGAATCTCATCGCCACTCAGCCGCCCACTTACCCGCGGCCCCAGGACATTCGTGTACGTCTTCACATAGTCCGGTCTGAAAGACGTGCCCTGCTCCCCCGTCTCGTCGGGGAGGTGGTAGAACGAGTGCCGTTTCGGGTGCTGGAGTATGGTGGAGGTGCTGTCTTCCGGGCCGGTCGCGGGATTCGAGGCCTTGGTCGTTTGGGCCGTTGTGCTCTGGAATAGGGCGGGTAGGCGGCCGTGGATGCCTAGCTTGCGTGCGAAGAAGCGGAGGGCGGGGCGGAGTGTTGGGAGGCAGGCGGAGACGATGCCGGCGGACATTTCGATGGCGGTCCAGCCGACGGTTGGCGCGAGCGTGTAGGAGGAGTCGGCTGCGGAGTAGGTGAAGAGGACGGAGAAGCGGTAGGCGGAGGCGAAGACCACGCTGTGGAAAGGGTTAGATTGGTTGATATGGATGACAACGCTGATGGAGGGAGGGCTTACAAGAAGCCGAGGCCGAATGCGATTGAGACGGCGATTTTCTCGGAAAGCTGGAGTTGGAGCTTCCAGACTTGTGGGATCGGGAGCAGCAGGATGATGATATCGGTCGCGATTGTTGACACGGCGTTGGCGATCCATGTGCCGACTTGGTTGATGCAGCGGCCGGGGATCTGCGGATACCAGAGCTTTTCGACCGGGACGCAGATGAAGATGAAGAGGAAGGTGATGCAGATGACCCAGAGAATGACGAAGGTGCCGATGATGTATGCCCATGTCTTGAAGTAAGGGAAGTGGAAGATGCGGTAGTACATGAGCAGGATACTGAGTTTGGTCCAGACGAGGTTGAATACGTAAAGAATCTCGGCCACCACTAGGTACTTCGCAACCATGACGACGTTACTGGTTGGGATCGTGTTGGCATGAAGACCCATTCCTTCCTTTATCATGGCGTAGATAAACCCAACAACGACGAGGTTCCATAACTAACGACAGTCAGTGATGTTAAGAGGATATTGTACAGAGATTTCAGAACTCACCATGGAAAATATGATCATGTAGTCGTCCCACCATAGTTTCTGCTTCCTTTCATACCGTGCAAGCAGTCGAAGGCAAACCGTCACGAACGCCAGCACCGTGACGGAGGCCGTGGTGGCTATCGACCATTGCTGAAGATCGTCCTGATCATTCACCATGAGGTGCAAGTCAGTACCATGGAGCCGGATACCGCGCAACTCCCTCGCAAAAGGCGAGGGAAGCAATGCTTAGTCTAATATAGGCGAATGAGCAAAACCCGGGAATCCCCCTTGCGTCGTATGTCGAACCATTCATTCGCGGAAGCAAATCTTGTCCTCCGCAATGGAATGAAACATGTGCTGAAGTGGATCCCCTGCATTTGTGGATCGACATGGACCCGGGAAGTATTCTAGAACTCCAGGATTGGGGACAACAAACCTGTGGAATTGGTAGCTTTAGGGTTTGTCAGGTCACCGTTGGCCTACACCGGGTTTGGCAGCTGCTCCGCGACTCCACTTGCCTCCTCAGGCCAGTCACTGAATGGTGGATCATCCACGTGGTTCTGCCTAGAGAAAAATACGAAGAATATTCCACAGGGTAACTTCCACGACGTCAAAAGTACTACCACTATTCTGTACCCACCAAGCCCTGTTAGTTATTACCCTGGCTTAATCCTGCGAGATCTCAACAAGTTCTCCGTGTTCACTTACGACCACAACAATGCCAAAAATTGCCCTTTGCAGAAATATCGCCCTTGTTTACAATGATTCGGTTATAAAATAATGCAAGCTGTCAGATTCTGTATTCAATCGAAAGAAGATGTCGAATATCTACTCTCGGAGGATCAGACAATTTACATGAACTTCTTTCGCTGGATATTTAGGATCTCTCGAACGAAGATTCTCCAGTCACGATAAATACTGATGTCGCCTATGTTGCCTGTCTCCGATCTCAATAGATACCAGGAAATTATACAAAGGGATCAAAGACTCACTCTGTTTTTCAAAAAGCTGAGTAAAGATAATATCATCTTCGGTCCACTGTTCTTTATCTCTATTCCCGATACTATGTAAATATTCAGCATTACATACAGCATCGCTCAAGACTAATATAGCCGGTTGGGATGATAGTAGCCTTTTGAAAGAAGACCTTGATAACACAGTCCAGTATTTACAAAGAAAAACAATCACGAAATTATCAGAGCAAACGAACGCAAATAGTATAGTCAAGACCCTTCTCAGTTTCTATTCCGGTTTTCTATGAACTCCAACATCTATTTTGTGTCCGCCAAAAAGACTCAGAGAGAAATCTGGGCTGAAAATAGAGACTAAGCGACAACAAAAAGATAATTCTCAACCTCCAATAAGTATAGCTACATATTGTCCCAGACCCCAGCCAGTGACATAGTTTGGCAAGAGAACTCAATTTGCGGCAGATATCGTCGGCGCAAGGCCTGAACAACACTGGACAGAAGCTTACACGCTGCCTCAGCTGACAATAAATACCCTAAGACCCTTGACACAGAGGCAATTGCGAGAACACTTGAGCCTCTTGAGCCAGAGTTTAATATAACTCACCTCGATATTTTCCACCATAACCTTGAAATAACACATCTCAATTTCGCTGATCCGACAGTAGACTTATACTCGCCACCTGCACATACTGTGGATATGACATGTATGACTGCTGCAGCTAGAACCGTTGATTCTTTTGAGAAGACTTTCCCGAGGCAATCTCTTTGAGACGGGAATAGCCCGAGAGTTTATGTTGTCTAGAACCGGAATTAATCTGGGCTCATTCTGGCGAAATATCTGATTTTCATTTCCTCGTTCAGCTACCTTCGAGATATATCTACGGTAGCTACAGTAGCCATATCAAAGAATCCATTTTACAGGTGATCAAGCTTTTGAACATAAACTCTAAACCTCACATTCTAACCAGAGGCCAGTACCGGAGCTTTCGGATCGTTCTTGTCCCCCGCAAAATGGATCTCAAACTTCTTATTCGTAATAAAGAGGACCACACAATCCTGCTCATCGGTGGCTCCATGTATCATCACGCCTCCCTCTGGAAATGCGACAAAGTGTCCCGGTTCGTAGTTGCCTTGGTGCGTCTTCAGTGTGCCCTCGAGAACATACAATCCATGCGCGCACGGATGGCTATGCCACGGATCACAGACGCCCCGGGGATATCTGGCCTTGACTATTGCCATGCCCGACTCCGTATCATTGATTAATGGTATAACCTGTATGGCGCATTTCATGAAGTCAATCGGCAAGTCGTGCCACTTGCACGAGTTGGTATCAACAACAGTAAGCTCCACGGCATTTGAAGGTTTCTATCTTGGTTAGAATGAGCGTGGATGTGCTTTCATGTATTCACTGACCTCAGCCATCTTTATTTAAGTTGTTAAAAGACAATAGAATTATAGCATGGTATTAATATACTTGATGGGGGATCCTTGGTATCTATACACAAAAGCTTTATTGCAAACTTTCCGGGCGCATCCGCGTGCCATCCATTGACTTTGTGATGGACCATTGGTAACTGAATGTCATATGTTAGTAGCCGACGCATTCGTGCCATCTATTGACTTTGTGATGATCGTCATATATTAGTAGCCGGCACATCCGTGTGTTGTCTGTTACTTTGTGATGATGGTACTGAACTTTATATGTTCGTAGCCGGCACATCCGCGTGGTATCTGTTACTCTCTTTTTGAACCCAAGAATCAAATACGAAGCGACAATATTAACCACCTGCCGAAAGGCATGGAAAAAGGCTTAGCCCAATGGCTTGCCACAGTTGGTGCGGGTCGATATACCCGCCATGTTATGTGTACCACAATGGCCACAATTGAGCTGGTTAATTAGTTTGCTCGGGATTGGAGTTGCCATTTTCTCGGGAATGAGTCTATTATATTGTTAGCCATGGATGCATTGAGGATCGGGAAGATCTCTTACTTGATAAATCTGCACGTAAAAGTGAATCCAAAAGGGGTATGGCTTGGGATGCAGCAGGTACAAAGAATAGATCACTAAAATTCCAGGTAGGCTCTGGCTGAGTGAGAAGTTCAAGTACACAAGCGGGCTTCTTCTACCACTTCTGGATGATATAGAAAAAAGAGCTTGGAACCTTGGCTTAGCCAGCAACATTAACCCAACCCTGTTTAGGAGACACAAATACCACAACCAAAGCTGCGTAGATTATATAATATAGAATCGACCGAAATCAATTGTATATATAGCTTGTTTACTGTTAGACCATATTACTGAGCTGTGCTATCCAATATTTAATTAACTGGGTATAGAGAAACCGGTAACTGATAATAATAATAACTATTACAGGCTAAATATTGGAACACGCCACCTAATGGCTAGTCCTTGATTCTCCCAAGCACTTCTCTTCTATAGAAACGCTGGCCAATCCAGTACCTCTCGGCAAGGCCTACGCAGGGACACTTCACTGATACTTAGTGACCATTTCCAAGAGTGCCCCATTGACCTCCTTCGGGTTCGTGGCATTGAGATAGTGCGCACCGCCCTCGATCATGACCAACTTGGCCTCTGGGGAAGCAGTGAAAAGTTTGATTTGCTCCGCAGGAACTGTCGTTCCAAACGGTGTATCCTCAGTGCCCTTATCTATCGGTTAACGCACAGATCACACACTGGAACTGATTGGAGCTAGAGTTGGCACTCACCTGTAGCCAGTAAACAGGACATCTGATATCCCTCAGTCGGAGCAACAGTCCGTCTCGCTCCAGGAGGCAATTGAGTGCCATCCGCACCTTCTTGCGTCCCTCATCACCTTGGTATACTTCTTTCAGGGTTTTGGTCCAGAACGCAGACTTCTCTGCGGTGGCCGCAGCCCCGAAGCCAATGCCTCCTACCAGCCCACACCAAACATCATCTACAACAAAGTCAGGCGTGGCGCCAGGGCTCGTCCACTTATCATAAAAGGCTGTCAGACTGGCTGCGGGGTCCCAGCACCCCTTGGACCGAGAATCGGCTGATTCGTAATCCATGGACGTGCCCAGGGGCATGAGACCGAGGATCTAGTGACATGCGAGGTTAATCCTATTGGGCTTGGCAGGAACTAAATTCGGCTCTGCATTAGCTCGAACTTACCCTGTCGGGTGCGAGCAGTGCCATCCGGGTCACCATCCACCCCCCTTGGCTTGTTCCCAGGGCGAACGCCTTCTGGATCCCAAAGTGATCCATGACCTGTAACGCCATGACGGCCGAATCCCAGTAGGTAAAATGCTCGGAGGGGCAGCTGGTCGCGCCATGGCCCAAGGGCTCGATGGCGAGGAGGTTCATCGCATCGGTCAGCTCCTTATTATTGAATTGATCATGGTAGAGCGAGGCAGTCATGCACATAGAATTGATTAGAACGCATGTCGGCTTTGACGGGTCGTAGTGGTCATTGGAGAGGGCGTAGCCGGCCTTGATGCCGCCCAGGTGGGGAACTTGGATGGTCTGTGTCGCCGCCATTCTGAGAATTTTTTTGATATTGTGAAGTGCCTCGATGGTGTGTGATTTCAGCTCGTATTCCTAGGCGAAGCCGGACTCATATCATAAACCGAAGGAGATTACACATGCCACATCGCTTCAGCACATAGCCCCTCCAGGGTTTCCCATCTGAAAACGTAAATCCCAACAAAGTTCTCGTATTCGTCCACCTTTGGGGATTGATCTCCAATCGACCACCGTATGGACTGATGTTGGCACGCCGGGTGTCGGCATTAGCTCCATTTCTGGTTCGATCAGCGCCGGCTCTTTGACCCGTGGACCGCCCTAAGCTTATAATTAAAGGCGAAGCTGTCAACCATGTCTGCTGTTGCCGGACGTTTTCCGAGACACGCCCGGCGTCTCCACTATTCGCGGAAACGGTCGAAAATCCCTCTGTTGCGAATTCGTCTTAAAGATTGGTGATCTCATAATGCCAATCTGCCGGTCTTATCCGGGCCCACTTGTGATGTGCCCTTGCTTCCAGCAGATTTTTCAAAGTGAGGCGGACAGACGACTACGACTAAAGAGTGTGAGCGGCCCTTGCCCCTTTTTCCTCTATCTCGGATCGCTAGGTGAGGGGGTATATGCATATGCTGCGTGAAAAACACCAGTATGAATGGGAGACGGTCCTGAGCTAAAGAATTGAGTATGCAGGGTCCAAGATCGCTGCTGGTGCAGAAAGCGAGTCAGCATGGGCCTTGTCTAACGCTTCCTCCACTTGATAGCAGGGGTTTTATTATATTAAGATATATTATATCAAAGCCGCCCCAGATCGGCCAGCCATGTGTTGGTTTCCTAGACCCATAATAACCAGTCTCTTGGGAAATGCCATAGCGTATATTATATGGACTTTACACATATATGCCCCCGCCCGCATAAATTTCATTTCACGGGAACCATAACAAGTATTCAAGATATTTATAGCTGACGAAATGATATAAACAATGCGATTATCTCCATTATCCAGGCGGTGCACATGAATATGTTTATACAGCTCGAATACGGTCGCCTTCAGCAATAACAATATCGCCATCAAGGGCGACGGTACTCGCCGAACCATCACAATTTGGCCAAAAGCCCTCGCTCTCCCGACAATACCAGTCGACAGTCACCTGTAGTACCTCGTCAAAATTCGTCCGCTGTTTCCATCCAAACGCACGCAGCTTGGAGTCGTCGGTCCAGTACATACTATCATTGAACGGGCGATCCAGAACATACTCAATCCAGTCGTCGAGCTCATGGGTCCCATCGGGATGGAAGCATCGAAATATTTTCTCCGCCACCTCTCCAACCTGTAAGTGGTCGTTGGAGGAGATATTGTGCGTCTCGCCGTCAGGCCCCCTGTGGAAGATCACATCGAGCGCCTCTACAGCATCACCCGCCCATAGAAATGCCGAGATGTGTGACCATCTCCATGGATCGGCATTTTTCTCCTTTGGTTCAAGAGAGTGATGAAGCGCGGGATAAGCTCTAAATCGGGCTTTGATTAAAGGGTCACTCGCTAGTAATAGCGTCGGAGGAGACCTACTTTCAGGGAATTGATGTGGCCCAAACACAGTATTACATCGCACAATAATGGCTGGCATGCGAGACGACTTTCGATATGCCTGGACGATCATCTCGGCCGCGGCCTTGCTGGCTGAGTATGGGCTTGTGGGGTGTAGGCTTTGCTCCTTGGTGAAGGCCAAAGGGCGTTGAGTATCGTTCTCGCCGTATACCTCATCGGTGGACACGTGGATGAATCGTTTACTCGAGCCTAGTTTTCGAGCGATCCCTAGCAGCACCTGGGTACCTATGACATTGGTTCGCGTAAAAGACAGAGGGTCGTTGAGTGATGTGTCGACATGGGACCTAGCAGCGAAATGGATAATAGAATCAATATGGTAGCTGCGGAGCACACTTCCTACATCCTTTGGAGCGCAGATATCTCCTTTGACAAAATGAAAAGTCGCCGACTGCGCGACAGCCTTGAAATTATTTCTTGAGGCGCAGTAGTCGAGACTATCGAAGCAGGTCACAGCATAACGGTCACCGTAGGCCGGCATCAGATGGCGAATGAACCAGCCGCCACTGGACAATGGAATGGCATGTCAGTCAAACTCTGAAGCTACCAATTCCTCAGTGAAGGTGATTGTTGATCTTACATGAAGCCGGCACCCCCAGTCACCATGATATCCTTCAGCACCGGCACACCGTTGAGTTGTGTATGCTCCGAACGCATCATGCCATCCGCAGGTGGATCCCAATCACTATGCATACTGTCGTGCTGAAGCTCCGATCAGCTATATAATGTGTATACAAAATATTCAGGTGAATTCCACTCTTTATCTAACCAACACGCGGCTTGCCTCTCGGCAATAAGCTTCGTGTCTATCCACATCATCACCCCTGAACGTTATCTCAGACCTTGAGTTAGTTCAAGTGGAGCTTATACTCGCTCCATGCAATAGCACTGTCATGTAGACAAGCGGTCCATCGGTTGATTCAAGTGTCTGCATATCCTAAGTTGCGCAGTAGATATCTAAATCTGTATCACTCATTGTACAAGATATCTGGATATCTAGATCTTGCTGCTGTATCACCTAGGGGGTTACGTTGTCTCTAGTACGTTTTCTGACATGTATCGGTGCTTGTAACTCATTGACCGCGACATTTAGGGACAACCTTAGTTCGAGAGTCTTATTTACTTCCAGACAGGCTGTACACTGCCAAATTCCAGCCGGTCTACTGGGAATCAAGGTTCACATCGTATCACGTAAGATTTGTGCGGCATGTACATCTAAGTTTGAGTGCGCCATGTTTCTCACGTGTTGGTGTATGAGGATATGTACGACTACAAGTACCCAACCGGAAAATATTCAATTAATTAATGCGCTTATTGTTCAGCTTTGTATTCCAATTTATTTCGGTCTCCGTGGAGGTAGCACAATGTCTTGGTTGCGATGCATACCAGCCATGCCGGAGTCAGACATACGAAACCCTAACTGCGGTCCACTGGGGGTGCATACGATTTACACTCGATGTCGTCGGGCACTTGCCCCGTCAGCCTTATCACAAACTCATCCTCTACATCCCTCAGAATAACATGTATATGCTCAACTGTACGCACACTCTGCCACTTTACCTTGTTCTTGAACCATTCGATGTTGTTCCCTGCCTACTCTCATTGGCTCATGTCCATTGTAAATGTTCTCTCAATAAAGTCCGCAATTAGCCGCCGGGACTCTGTAGTAGGATCACCTTGCGCATCTACAGGTATAGGCGGTCTTTAACCATACGACGAGATGAACCATGCCCGGCGCTATGGCGTAGGGCCAAGTCGTTGCGTAGAATGCGATAATCAGAGTGATTAGAGAAGGGAACTGAATGGCGAGAAGGGAAACGAATCTGGTCATTGTTGGCAGTCTCTTCCCAGTGTAGCCGCTTCCTCACGAGGAAGTTTGTTACAGAGCCGAAAGTGGCCTGGATCTCTCGGTCCAGAAGATGCAATTGCGGAGATAAGTCGGGTGCGCTTCAGCTGGGATGGATCGCCACAGGCTGACAGTGTTAACGACATCCAAGCTTCATACCATATTCTAGAGAGTCTCCTCACCAATAATGTTTTAAAAGTCTTCCCAAGTATGCGGGATAAAATCTTCCTTGGTGGTGGCGAGGACCTCCTTGCCTGCGTGACTGAGCTCGAACGGCGCATTACGCATCAGCTCCTCTGTGTCGATGATCCTGAGCATTTTAGAACGTTCACGATGAGAAGGAACCGGGTAGTGCCATGGTTTATGGGCCTCTATATAGCGTTCCCTAGGCTTTGCGGCGTGCGATGACAAAGGCTGGCTATCTCGCTGTCTATATAATTCTGTGCTAAAACAGAACTAGCACATACGACCATAGGGTGTGGAGAACAGGGCTTCCCGTCCGCTCAGCCGTACTTAAGCCACACGCCGGGAGGTTAGTAGTTGGGTGGGTGACCACCAGCGAATCCCTCCTGTTGTATGTTTTTCTTTTTGTTCTTGCTGCTAGTTGGTTGTGTTATTTTGCTTGCTGCTTGTTCTTACCCTACCTCGGCCGCTTCCTTCGCTAGCATGACATTAATGTATAACCCAATGCATATTGACGCACCGCGGACCAGGATCACATTTCAATCAGGTATTGGGAATCATAACCTTCAAGAACCACGTATAGGAACCCCTGGATAAGCTACATTGAAAAAACCCTGCTTACCAGGGCGCCGATCCATCTCATCACCACCCTTCGTCCCGCGGCAGGGATAGAGTAACATGTAACTCCTCTCGGTTATCTCCATTGGGGCTAATGAAGGGTATCTGTCTCTATTCCTAGCTTCGAGAGACTCTACCAAACAGATGACCATGTTACTGATATAAAAATGGGATGTCTTACTTTCCTTCTCGGAGACTCGTGGAGATGATTACGGCCAACTTTTCAAATTCATTAAATGGTGAGTGAATTATTTTGTGCTCTGCAGCTAATTAACTTCTACGACGGCCATTACAGCTTACTTCTCGTATAGGTGGCTCAATCCTGAAACGCTAGAGTAGCACCACGGACGAGATTGGCTGCAGCAATGTATCAACCAAGGACGAAGAGCTACTGGATGGAACGGAGCGGATAGATCATCTGACCTTAATTGTTGATTTTGCTTCTAGTTAGATAGATTGGCAGCGTAGATATTAGCCTGTTCGGCATGTTGGCGTGGGCTGGAATGAAATCACCGAGTAAAACCTATCGCTAGCGTATAACCACGCATTCTCTTCGTTCCCGTCACCGTCTGGGCGATTTATCATTCTTTCGTGTGGCATCATCTTCGTAGTATTACAAGCCTTCTTGTTCAAGATGATCTCTCATACTGGATGGCGATCCTCGCGTGCCTTTGTTACGTTGGTTGTTTCCGTTGCTATCTTCACCGACATTTTCCTCTACGGACTGATTGTACCCGTGCTTCCCTTTGCCCTAAAGGTGCGAATGAGCTTGCCAGAGAATGATATCCAACTCTGGGCCTCGGCATTTCTGGCTGTCTATGGAGCCTCTATTTTTCTGGGGTCTTGTATGCACCAACGACCCATCTCCACATCTTTAACGACCTGACGCAGTCCATCTAACATGAACTCTCCCAATCTGCAGTACTCTTCGGCTGGATAGGCGACCACTCAAAGGCAAGACAAGGCCCATTCCTACTCGGCCTAGTCATCGTAGGCGGCGCCACTTTCATCACTGCCCTCACGACCTCCCTCCCGTTATTTCTTCTAGCCCGGGTGCTACAGGGCCTCTCCACCTCCAGCATCTTCACGATCGGCTACAGCCTCCTCCTCGACACCGTCGGAACCAACCACATCGGGAGCGCCTTGGGCTTCACCAACCTGGGCCTGAGTCTCGGGCTCTTCGCCGGGCCCATCATCGGCGGCTTCATCTACGATATAGCCGGCTACGTGGCCGTATTTGCCCCGGCATTCGCACTCATAATCATTGAGACAACCCTCTGCTTGCTCCTCAAGCCCCTACCACCCGGATACAAACACAACCCATCATCCGAACATAATCCATCGCCCGAAGAATCACCCCTACTACACGATGGACAATCGCAATCCTCACCCCCAACCATTCTCCTACTCCTCCGCTCCCCCCGCTTCCTCGTCGCCATGATAGGCATGTGCATGCTCAACACCTTCATGACAGCCCTCGAGGCCGTCCTCCCCGTCTACCTCCAGGACCTCTTCCACTACACATCCAGCCAATCGCCCTCGTCTTCCTGTCGAGCTCCCTCCCCCTAATGGTTCTCTCGCCCCTTGCCGGCTACTGCGTGGACCGCGTCGGTCCCTTCTGGCCGGCTGTTTCGGGCTTTGCGCTCGCGACCCCGAGCATGATGCTTCTGGGCGTGGTTCAGCAGAATACGGCCCTGCATTCGGTGCTTCTACGTGTTTTTCTGTTCCTGTTTGGCTGCGGGGTGGCGATGGCCATGCCTGCCCTCATGACAGAAATTAGCAGGGCGACTGAGAGACTGCATCCGGGAGGTTGCGGTGCGTCTTCGCAGGCGTATGGCCTGAGTAATGCTGCTTTTGCGGCTGGGACGCTGGCGGGGCCGCTTTATGCGGCGTATATGAGGGAATGGGCTGGGTGGGTGGTTTTGACTGGTTCGATGGGGGTGTTTGGTCTTGTTACAGTGGGTTTGGTGGTTGTTTTTACACGGGGGTGTGGGAGGGAGGATGTTTGAGGTTGATGGACGTATACTAGTGGTTATATCAAACTGTTGAATAGTGATGTAGCTCTGGAATGGTAATGCGAGGTTTAGGATGTTTTAGCAGGTAGTGCTACAGGATACTCCAAGGTCTCGATTTCCTCAGGGAATTTGAGGTCGTTCTCCCGTCGCACTGTATCCATGATCTCCATGACGGTCAGGCTCTCTAGCCAGGGCATCTCGGGACTCTCTAGAAGACCTTGGCGAATGCACCGTGCGACCTCGTCCGCCTCGAAACAGAGGCCGTATAAATCGCCGGATATAAGCTTGGTCTTGTCCATGCTGATCGTCCACGGAGTGCCTATCCCAGGTCTTCGTCTGATGACTCGTAGCCGGAACGGATACCACGGCCAACCGGATATTTGGATTTCGCCTTTGTTGCCTTGAATGCGCACCGCGACGGTCTCGTCGTCTGGGTTGCTTGTGGCGCGTAGACTGGAACTCGCTGTGGCTTGTATTTCGGGTCGGTCTGCTGTGCTGGGGGCGAATTTCATCAGTATGGTGGTGGTTTCGTCGACGCCCTATATAGGGTATTTTGTCATGGTGGAGAGGATCTGGACCGGGCGACGATCTTCCTTGGTGAGGGCTTGGAGGGCCCAGTGGATGGAGTAGACGCCAACTGATTCATATACCGTCAGTCATAGTCAGAGATAGGCTTCCGGACGGACATTTGAACTCACGGTCTAACAGCGCTCCGCCAGCCAGTTCTTTAACAACCATGCGGTCGCCCGTCGGAAATTCCCTGCATGGATCCACTCCCAGACCATTATCTGCGAAGACACGGGTGATGGTCCCAATCGCACCGGCTTGGAGAAGTCCACGCACCTCTACACTAACTGGGAGGAACCGTATCCACAGTCCCTCCATGAGAAACCGCTGCTTCTGCTCCGCCACAGCGAACAACTTCTTGGCTTGTGCGGCATTCACAGTCAGGATTTTCTCACACAGCACGTGTTTTCCCGCTTCGAGCGCCAGCATGGCATTCTGGAAGTGGTGAGAATGAGGTGTCGCGATATAGACCACGTCGATGGTAGGGCAGTTGACTAGATCGGAGTAACTGCCGTATGCTTGGCAGTAAGACGGGGCTCGGACTGTGGTCATGAATTCGTGGGCGACATCTTCTGAGCGAGAAAACGCTACCCCGGAAAGGAGGTGGACGATATCGATCCGTTCCCTTGTGACCGGGTCGATGAGGAAGGTCTTCTGTGAAATCTGGACTAGTTAGAAAAGTTTTGCTTCCGCTTGAGGGGATGTATCCTGTGACTATGAGATGTTAACATTGCTCTTCTTGTACGGAAATATATCCATTATGCATTGTAAGTACGTACCTAGAATGCCCCAGTGTAAGTGGAATGTTTCTTCCATCGTGGTCTGTGGTATGATTCCCGTAGAATATTCAATGATGCTATCTCACATCCGTCCAAGATTCATATTTATATCTTCCGAGGGTCAGCGCCCGGTTCCAACTGAAAGAAAGTCAAGTCTCCTCTGCCAGGTGGGCCTTGTGTCACCAAATATCCTCCAATGTGTTTTTTACCCCTCTGGTTTAAATAACACGATTCCTGCTTTCTGGTCCGCATATGCGTTTTAAATGGCGCGCTTAATAATGGTGCTTACCTTGTGTGTCCCTCGAGATTCACATATGCAACACTTCCGAATATGGATCAGCACACCAATAGTGGACTATTCCTACAACCTGCACCACCATTATTGGCACCGAATTGGCCAATATCGAAGATGTCCTTACTCTGAACAACCTGTCCGGCAAGGGAAAATACACCCGGCTCTGTGAACAATGGCTGGAACAGTTCAAGACAATAACGGCCGAGCACTGGTTGTCTCGTCCTGCACCTTTGCCCTGGAGATGGCCGCCATAGTTGCCGATATGCAACCAGGCGATGAGGTGATTGTCCCCAGTTATACATACGTCACAACCGTGAACGCATTCGCGCTGCGGGGCGCCGTACCTGTATTTGTAGATGTAGATGACGCCATGATGAACATTGACGCGACCCTTATCGAAAGGGCAATCACTCCCAAGACGCGAGCAATCATCCCCAGTCCACTATGGCGGGCTCGCATGCGACATGGACAAAATCATGGAGGTCGCCAAAAGACACCGGCTGTTCGTCTGTGAGGACGCAGCCATGGCATGCACGTCCACCTACAAGGGCCAGATGCTCGGCACGATTGGCAACGTCGGCTGCCTCAGCGTTCAGGAAAAGAAGAACTTTACAGCCGGTGGTCAGGGAGGTGCCCTTCTCGTCAATGATCCAGCGCTGGTCGAGCGAGCCGAGATTCTTTACGACAACGGGACCAACCTGTTGCGCTTCATGCGCGGCGAAGTTGATCACTACCAGTAGCTGGATCTGGGGTTGAATGCCATTCTTTCTGAGCTGCAGGCTGCGTTTCTGTACGCACAGTTTCAAGCTGCGAGTAATATCAATGCGCGCAGAAGGTATATCTGGGACCGTTATTTTGTCAGTCTGTTACCTTTAGTCCGCAATGGGTACATCACCTTACCCCATGTTCCTGATAATACCACCCATAACGCGAACGTGTTCTATATCAGGATTATAGGCCCGGCGCAGCGCCAGGATCTGATTCAGCATATGGCCAGTGCGAATGTGCAGACACATCCACAATTTATGCCGCTGCATTCGTCGCCTTTTGGTCGAAGTCATGGTCGCTTTGATGGAGTTGACCGTGTTACGTCACTCGCCAGCTCGCAAATCTTGCTGCTGCCGGTGCATTTGGCGCTGTCTGATGAGGCGTAGGGGGTTGTAATCCGGGAGCTGTTTGTTTTTTGGGGTGAGACAACAGCGGGCAGGTCTCAGCTGTACTTGGGTTAATTATGACTTTTGGTTGAAGTCACTAGTTCTTTTGGTGGTTCCCTCCAACTGTTCACAAAGTTGCTATCCTGGAAGGCAAACCCTCAAGGGCGTGATCGTAGTGAATGTAAGAGACAGTGAACGGTTTCTTGAACTGTCTGTAATACTGTTCGATGGACCAAGATGATTCGGTCAGAGTTGTTTCAACTGGAGGTACCAATCTACCAACCCCGGAAATATTTCGAAGTTAAGCTAGAGTTACTATTGTGGAATTCCATCGACAAACACGTGCGTGCTCTGCTTCACCGGTGGAAACTGGGCTATTTGAACTACTAGCTATACTGTTGTGGAGTCCTGCATACACTCAGGTAACAAGGTATCTAGAGCCTGTTGAGTATATATAAATAAACATTGATCTTCGCCAACGTGCATACCAATGCTTCGACCAAAAGAAAAGAAGAAGAGTAATTAGCTTTGACAATTTCTTCTCTCTTTGAAAGAGTAAGGTTACAAGTTGAAACGTGGAAGTTCTGGAGAAACACTCTATTTGGTAAAAAGCAAATGAGACTGAAAATCATGAAGTTATGAAATTCTTGGCATTTTCACATTTTGACATTTTGAAAATTCAAATCCCAAACACTTCTCAGACATTTAATGCCCTTCCAGTTGCCACTTTGGTGAATATGATACTTGGAGAGTATAATTATACAACCAATTTCACAAGATATGTGTACAATGGACAACGTTGATTGATATTCCACCTGGCATTTCAAAATGTCAATATTGAAATTCGTGACATTTTGACATTTTGAAATTCATGAGGAAATTGAAATATATGACACCCGTTTATGGTTTAGCGGCTTACTGGATGACCGCCTGTCAAAATAGACCTATTCTGCTTGGCAGAAACCTGTCTCCGTGGCCTCCTCCCGCTTACTATAGCAAATATGGTAGGCGGTATAATGACAGTATACTAAACCCTACATGGGTCAATAAATTTCAATTTCCTCCAACTGTACGTAGTATTATGTACATAAAGTCGTACATTTAGCTACCAACTTCTTGAAACCTCAATTGATCAACGGTCTCTGGAATTATATTCACTACTTAAGGTCTGTGCATTTATATGTCGGGTTCAAATTTCAGTCCGACTCCGATACTTCAACCAAGACTGTACGGAGCACTCTGTATAGTATGCGCCTGTCGATATACTTAGCTGATCATCTTTCTTTGTGAAGGAACTCTCTCTCTCTCTACCAGAACAGTTGAGTGCTCTCATTGTACTCGTCTCCACCGATCCTTGTTCATGGTTAACTACCGACCCCGCTTTATGCATCTATGATGCTTGATCAACATTCCAGATGCGTTGTTCACCGCAACACTATGCAAAACTGGAATAGGATATGTAGAAACTCAGGCTTCAACGCAATACTGATGTTACCACGTAGAGATCAGACCCACTTCCCTCTCCAGCATGACCTTGCTGTCTGAGATGGTGAGTTGAGAGTTCTCCAAGTACCAACGCAATGGCCAGGAGGATCGTCGCCAGAGCCACGTTGTTTCATTGGTTCCTTGGGACCGGTTGTTTGACGGGGCCCAGCGATTGGTCATTGGGGTCACTAACGGTGAGCTTAACCATGGACGGGAATCTGAAGGGCGTTTTACGTCAGTCCAAATCGGATCGATCGAGGGAGACACAGTACACAGGAGAGAGAAAAAAAGCATGGTGATGTTGGTTTCTTGAACCAGTTCCTAGTGAAGGAACAGGAACTGGTCCGTTGTGGTCGTCCATTGTGGGATAGCGTTGAAGATGCCCTATCCAATGTCAGCAATATCCATCTCACTGTCGATCACCATAATTATACTCGTACTATGACTTGACTATTTCACATTGAGCAAGAGTTACCCCCTCGGCTAGAGATTTGTACCCGGCTCGGTTTGCCACTTTGGTTTCATTTCCGCCACTTTGGGATCCTTGCGAAGGATATTATCAATTAAATTCAATTCATGTCCAGACACCATTGAATTTTGCTGATCGATACGTGTCAGATTTTACCCAATTTGGGGATAGAACGGAGAGACCGATCTCTTGAGACAATGCAGAGGCTCTAGACCAAGTCACGATGGATCGATCTAACCAAGAGGGTACGTCGATGCGTACCGATTCCTGGCTATCTAATTAAATACCAGCACTCGTAGTCGTACATATGATGGAACACACTCCTAATAATACTTTGAGCCCTGGCCAAATTACGGTACGGTCGCGTTACCTATCCAGGCAGCCAGCGTTGAACTTCCACCCAATCAGATACCGTTCGGGTGATATTTTTCTCGTGGGTGGAGACGGCCGGAGACTTGGCAGGGTCACGGGCTGCAAAGCACAAAAAGAAAATCGAAAACTGACAAAAAGATCGTCCAGTCAACATGCACAGGGCTGATTGGGTGTTCATCACCTCGAATATCCACCCCGTCTTCATCCTCTTGTCCATAGTACGGCTGTGTACTAGTACGAAGGACTGAGTACAACGAGTCGACAGTTACCATGGACGGGATCTCCCCCCTCAGCAAAGAATCTCCCAGGATGCGCAGAACCTTACACGCCCTGAGAATGAAGTCGAGAATGGACTGACCCGAGAGAATTCCAGCCAGAATTCCCAGGCAACCCCCTGTTCATGACGCGATGGAGTTGGACGTTAAGACGGGAACCACAGGATTCTAATCGATGGTGAAACACGCCCCATGATGGTGCCTGGAATAGCCTGAGGTGGCTTTTTTTTAGTTTTTGAATTTTGAATTTTTTTCCCCATTTCTTGCCCTGAAGTGGTACCCGTCGGACACTTGTTTTTTGCCCTTTCATGCTGCTTGTTTCTTCGCACACTTCTTTCTTCCTTTCCCCTTCTCGTTCTCTTTCTCCCTCATAATATTACTCACCTCCTGACCAGAGTGACCGTCCTTCGTTTGTCTCGGATCAATCCCCCGACCCTTCACTCACTCTCTTTCCACGAGTTACGCTCTTTTTTTCAGATACGAATTGATCTGTTGATCTTTTCCTGCTTCACCTTGGGTGCTAGGTTTGACCCACCCCTCCCCCACAAGAACCAGTGGGAGTCGCATCTAGAATCTTTCTTGATGCTTGCCATTCGATAACCTAAATCGACTGTCCTTTGGAGTCGCTTGCGAGCAGTTACTAATTTTACCCCTCTTTGTGCTGCTGGACAGCTGTCGATCTTTTAACAATATAACTGGCCGCCAATCCCACTGCTCGTGCCGTGTCTGCAGCTCTAATGTCGACTCGGCCTGGACTCGCTGAAAAGCGGCTGTCAGCACATCGCTTCCAACAAATCCCTGATTATTCTGGCGACGGCATGGCCAACCCAAACGATGTCACCATTGAAATTCCTCTAAACCCCGTCCCCAGCCGGGGACAAACTGGCGCTCGCAAGACCAGTATCAACCCAGCGAGCCCAGACCCCAATCTGTATGAATCGCCGGGGGAGACCGCTGCCGAAGAAAAGGCCGCCCTGGTCACCGGTCCGGGCCGTCGCAAACGGATTGATTCGGCGCGAGGGCGGTCGTTGGACGATCCAGAAGATGGGACTCTGACGCGCATGGGGCGCATCTACCAAGCAATCTTCAACTTCTCCATCATCACCAGATACCTCATCTACGTGACTCCCCTGGCGCTCTTGATTGCAATTCCCATCATTGTAGGTGCCACGGTCCGTCAAGAGACGAGGATTGGCGGCGTGCCCTTGCATTGGTTTTTTACCTGGATTGAGGTCGTCTGGCTCAGCTTGTGGGTGTGCAAACTCGTCGCCCACTTCCTCCCCTATGTCTTCCAGTTCTTGGTCGGTATCGTCAGCTCCGGCACCCGCAAGTATGCCTTGATTCTACGGAGCCTGAAATTTCCCATCGCCACCGTGCTCTGGGCTGTGGTTTCCCTGGTCACCTTCCTACCGGTATGTTTCACAATCTGGTGTTGCAGTAGGCAACGTGCTAATCCAGCTGCGTGTAGATCATGACGTTGAACCCCGTCAATAAGGCTGAGAATGACACGGGAGCCAAGTCTTGGGAGAAAACCATCAAGAACATTCTGTTTGCTTTATTCGTCTGCAGTCTGATTTTCCTCGCCGAGAAAGCCATGGTTCAGTTGATTTCGATCAGTTATCACCGGAAACAATTCGATAAGAAGATCAAAGAATCTAAGCGCAACGTCACCCTCCTGGGGGAACTGTACGATGCTTCACGGAGTATGTTCCCCATGTATTGTAAGGAGTTTCGCGACGAGGATGCCGCGATGACCGAAATCATTGCAACCAAAGGGAAAGGATTGCCGCGTTCGGGATCGGCCCCCTTGCGACTGATTCGGGAAAATGTGGGCCGGATTGGCGACAAGGTGACGGCAGCATTCGGTGATGTCGCTCAAGAGCTCACGGGTAAAGAAGTGTTCAATGCCAACTCCGCTCGCTCCATTGTCACGTTCGCGTTGGAACGTAAGAGGTCGTCGGAAGCCTTGGCCCGCCGAATCTGGATGTCGTTCGTCATCGAGGGGCGAGAAGCGTTGTATTTCGAAGATATTGCCGAGGTATTGGGTGCAGGCAAGGAAGCGGAGGCGGAGGAATGCTTCCAGATTTTGGACCGCGACGGCAATGGTGATATCAGTTTGGACGAGATGATCCTGACTGTTGGGGAGATTGGTCGCGGCAGGAAGGCACTGAACCACAGCATGCATGATGTAGACCAAGCGATTCACGTTTTGGATAATCTGTTGATGACCATTGCGTTCGGTATCAGCGTTTTGGTCTTTGTCTCATTTGTGACCAGCGGCTTTGGCACGGTGATTGCTGCGGGTGCCACTTCTCTGCTATCCCTGAGTTTTGTCTTCGCCACCACCGCTCAAGAAGTCCTTGGTTCCTGTATCTTTTTGTTTGTGAAACATCCTTTCGACGTCGGCGACCGGGTGGAAATCGACAGCAAGCCATACACAGTGGAACGCATCTCATTACTTTTCTCGGTCTTTACCAGCGTGGCCGATCGTCGAACCACTCAGGTTCCGAACGTCGTGCTGAACACGCTTTGGATTGACAATTTCACCCGTTCCAATGCCATGCATGAGACATTGACCATTCCCATCAAATTTGGCACGAGCTTCTCCGACATCGAACTGCTTCGGCAAGAAATGGAGACCTTTGTTCGTGACAAGGAGAACAGCCGTGACTTCCAGCCGGATGTGAGTATCGATGTCGCCGGGGTGGGTGATATGGACAAGCTGGAGCTCGCCGTCACCGTCTGCCATAAATCCAACTGGGCCATTGAGTCGGTTCGTGCGGCTCGTCGCTCCAAGTTCATGTGCGCATTAGTTGCGGCCATCCGCAAGATCCCTATCCGCGCCCCAGGTGCAGCCGATGAGGAACCTGCTGCTGAGGACAACAACGGTGATAAGCCCGATGGCGGCGATAACACCGGCCCTGGCCTCAACACCGACAAGATGGCTGTATCCGGTCTCACCGCTACGGACAGCCTCCACGATTCGACCATGCCATACGGTGACTCCCGCTCGACCGGACTGGACCTGGGCCGGGATTCTGGATCCTTGCAGCGTCGTGGAGGCGGGGCCTCGGCCAGCTCCCACAGCCAAGGTACCTTCGTCGATTCCAACCGCTCCGCCGGGGAAGGCGAGGGACCCGACGCGGAAAGCTTTCAATCGCCAATGGCCTCGCCAAGAAAGGATCAATTGAACGTCCCCCAGGGTACCCTCAACCGGGAGTCATCGACCGGCCGCCGCAAGGCCAACAGCACCCAGAGCACCCAGAGCACCTATCCCACCGCCACTGGCGGTGTTCCCATCCTCGCTGCGCCCGTTCCGCCCCGACATGCCACCACGGCTCCAGCCCCACCGCCATCTGCACCACTGCCGCCACCCCCACCGGCGGCGGACTACCAGCCCTATTCGGGCCACTACTACGAGGACAGTCCGTATGAGTCCAGCCAGCGGTATGAGCTCCCCTCCATGCCGCAGCCCGCGGAGCAGGATCCCTACGGGGAGTACCCGTCGCCGCAAATGAATCAGTCGCCGACCGGCGAACAACACCCCTCCAACGAACGGATGCCTGGTGCATTCGTCTCGCGCACATCGCAATACGGAGCGAACAACAACCCTCGGTGAATAGCAAGCCAGAAGAAGAATAAATAAGACATGATCAAAAAGGGTATGAATTGTTTTATAAATTTGGGCGTTATGTAATACCAGCTGTGAACAGTACTTATTATGTATGGAAATCAATGCGTGTACGATGTGTCTTCCATCCAAGGATATCAACCAGTAAATCTATTTTCCTGTTTACCAGTATCACCCAGACTGAACAAATTGGAGATATTTCATAATACAAATGATCATAAGAAACCTATAGTACAGAGTGTGACGGGTATCACAACAACAAACAGCCCAGAGCCTCAAAAAGATATCACCTCACCCAGTAAAACACCATGCTTCACTTCACTCACTTCAACTCCTTCCACGGGTACGAAACATCATCACCCTTCCTCACCCAGATCTTTGACTTCCGCTTGTTCACCACATGCTCGACAAACACCTCCCGCGTATACTGCGCCTTGTACTTGCGGATCCAGCGTGGATCCCACAACTCGCTCGCAATGCCTAGATCCTTGCAACACCGCACCAGCGCATTAGACCGACAGCCCTCCGTCGCGGTCGGAATGCCATCAGGCGAGAAGTAGTCCTGTTCGCCGCGCGCAACGGAAACAAGTCTATACATTAAACACAATCATTAGCCAAACCCAACAAACAACCACCCCCCAGTAACCCCCCCACAAAAAAGAAACATAAGAAAAAGACACATACCGTCCATTACAAACCAAAGCATACTCCCTTGTGACCGTCTTCGGAGTAACGATACTCTCACTGCGCGGCACCAGCCCCCAGCCACCGGGCCCAAACGCGCGATTCAAGATCCGCCGGTACTTGATCTCAGGCAGGTAGAGGATGCCATCGGGCTTAATCTCGACTTCTTCCGGGTCTGTCTCGGCGAGGAGGATGTCGGCCGCTTCTTTGGGGAACGGTTCCGCCGAGAGCCCGTGGAAGGAGCGCGTCCAGTCGATCTTCTCCTCCGGGGGGGTGTCCAGCTCCAGCGGTCTGTCGGCGAGCCCGGTTTTGGAGATGTTCTGCGTGGTGGGAGCGTTTGGGGTTGGGGAGAGGATTTTGGTAGCTTGCTTTGCTGGTGTAGCTGGTGTGTTGTTGTTGCTGTTGGTGGTGGTGGGTGGTTTGGGTGCTTGTTGTTGTCGTCGATGCGGGGCGGTGGTGAGGGTGCGGAGTTGGGGGCGGATGGGTGCTTTTGTGCGCGACAGCAGCGTTTCTGCTGCCCGCAGGCTGCGTGGAAGTGACATTTTTGAGGTCTGGTGGGTGGATTGGAGCTGTCGTTGTTCTGGGATGTTGGAGGTGAGTCGCGTTTTTCTGATGTTACGTTGGGAGCTTTGATATGGTCACGTGACGGGCATTTCTTTGTTTCGTACAACAGGGGAGATGGATTATATCTGATTATCGTACATGGCACATAGTGTAGTAATACATAGGGGGTTAGGGGAAACAGAGCAAGGGTAGGTTTAGGCGTCCTTTGTTTGGGTGCGCTCGTCGTTGCCCTTGCGCTTCCAGCATTCGCGGAACGCCTCCATCTGTGTCATTGGCATATAATTAGCAGTCTGTCAATTGAGCTTAACCTTGGGTACCGGGTCTGGATTGAGGTAGATGGGTATGTGTGGCAGTGCACTAGAATACCAATGTGGTGGTGTCTACGGTGGTGTTGGGGGGATGTTGAGTGTTGGGACAGGATACAAGGCACCAGGAACCAACGCACCTCTTCCTTGCACGCCCGCCAGTCCTTCTTAGCAAAGTAACAGTCGTTCATTTTATCCTGCTCCACTACGCAGGGTCAGTCCAGTGATCTTCCGGTGTTAGCCGTCCAGAGTAGCAGCCCACCTGAGCAGCCCGTGCTGAAGATCCGCTTATCCCTATAGACAGATTCCCGCGTCAGTTCACCACCGAACAGTCATTCATTTCTCCGCAATCACTTCATTCTCTCTCTCTTACCACTCATCCGGCTCGTCGTCGTCCACATCCACGACCACTCGCGGGTTCTGCTCCTTGGGTGACATTGTGACGGAAATATTTGCAGGTGAATAGGACGCTGGGAGTTGTTTGTCAGGACGAGGAATTGTCGGAGGGAATTCTTGACCTCCGAAATGTCATCCGCGAGCCCCAACACCACGGGGAAGAGGGTCAACGTCCTGGTCTACACCGGTATGTTCTAACCGACATGGATCAATTTCACCTTATACTAAATAATATCTGTCTCTCCAGGCAATGGAACCACCGTTGAATCCGTCCGCCACTGCCTCTACACTCTCCGCCGCCTGCTCGCCCCCCACTATGCGGTGATCCCCGTGACGGCCGACATGCTCATCAAGGAGCCTTGGTCCCCCACCTGCGCCCTACTCGTGATCCCCGGCGGAGCCGATCTTGGATATTGTCGAGCCCTGAACGGCCCAGGTAACCGCCGAATCGAACAGTTTGTCCGCCGAGGTGGCGCTTACTTGGGCTTCTGTGCGGGGGGCTACTACGGCTGCAAACGGTGTGAGTTCGAGGTCGGCGACAAAACCTACGAGGTGATCGGCGATCGCGAGCTGGCTTTCTTCCCGGGGATCTGTCGGGGATGCGCATTCCCTGGGTTCGTTTATCATAGTGAAGCCGGTGCACGGGCGGCGGAGCTGAAGGTCTCCAAGGAGGCCTTGAATGTGGGCATTGTGCCGGAGAGCTTCCGGTCGTATTACAATGGCGGTGGCGTCTTTGTAGATGCGTCTTCGTATGCGGATAAGGGTGTCGAGGTGCTGGCCAGCTATACAGAGGAGCTCAATGTCGACTCGGGATCAAGTGCGGCGGCTGTTGTCTACTGCAAAGTGGGTGAAGGAGCGGCCGTTCTGACGGGGCCACATCCGGAGTATGTATCCTGGTAATGTGATTTAAACAGAGGCTCATATATCTAGATTCGCGGCGGTGAACCTCGATAAAAACGCCGGTGGTCCGGAATACGGAAAAATGGTAGACGCCTTAGCTGCGGATGACAGGGCGCGGACGGACTTCTTGAAGGCTTGTTTGACGAAGTTGGGGCTGCAAGTCACGCAGAACACGACGACCGTGCCGTCGCTTTCGTCGCTGCATATCTCTTCCCTCGACCCAGCTGATACTTCTTCGATTCTTTCGTCCTTGCAGGAGGTGATCACTACCGATGGAGAGCACCAGTACCTCAAGGATGAGAATGACACGTTCCGCATCGAGAAGCCTGAGACTTGGAATATGGAATCTCTACAAGAGGCCCTTCCGGATGATTCGAGAGAGGACCCGAGCAAGGCTGAAGAGGGCATCGTCGATTACAATGCTATTGTAAAGCACCTTGTGATCCACGAGGATGTGCCATCGTCGAAGCTGACCCCCTACTTCAACCACCATGCATTCTATTCTAATCTCCGACAATATCAATCGCAAATGAGGGAGGGCGCGTCGGAGTTTGGCTCTAGTATAGTCTATGGGGAGGTCGTCACGAGTACCAATACCATTTTAGAAAAGTGTGTCCTCCATCCCTAAGTTTTGCCGACTGTCTCTAACCCGGCTAGAAACCCAAAGCTTCTTCGCAACTTGCCGCACGGTTTCACCGCCACTGCTACTACGCAGGTCGCTGGACGAGGCCGAGGCTCGAACGTGTGGGTGTCGCCCGCCGGTGCCCTCATATTCTCAACGGTGGTCCGCCACCCGATGGAGAAGATGCAGTCTGCGCCGGTTGTCTTCATCCAGTACCTAGCAGCCATGGCGGTGGTGCAAGGTATCAAGAGTTACGACAAAGGCTTCGATGAGATGCCCGTCAAAATGAAATGGCCAAATGACATTTGTGAGTTGTATAAGGTCCGGAATACTCGCTACTAAGCTAACTGGACAGATGCCCTGGATCCCGAGAATGCGGATAAGAAGCGCTATACCAAAATTTGCGGTATCCTGGTAAACTCGCAGTACTCGTCGGGTGAATATACGTCCGTAGTCGGCATCGGCATCAACGCCACCAACACGTCGCCCACTACGTCTTTGAACGCGCTGGCCGCACACTTCCTCGGTAATAAAACGGCGCCTATTACCCTTGAGAAGCTCCTGGCGCGTATCTTAACCACGTTCGAAGAGTTGCACACTCGCTTCCTCCGGACCGGGTTCGATAGGACATTCGAGGAGATGTACTACAGCGACTGGTTGCATATGCATCAAGTCGTCACGTTAGAAGAAGAAGGCGGTGCCCGGGCCCGAATTAAGGGTATCACCCGAGACTATGGGTTATTGCTCGCCGAGGAATTGGGATGGGACGATCGGCCGACTGGGCGGATCTGGCAGTTGCAGAGCGACAGTAATAGCTTCGACTTCCTCCGCGGACTGGTGAGGCGTAAAGTGTAGCCTAGATTCGAGATAGATCCACGATACACGTCACGGCGACAAGAATAGAATAGAATAAAGAGATGCTGCTATATTTGGTGGAAGGCTGAGCATGTCAAGCAAGTGCCAAGGAGGCTTGGCTAACCGCCCTAAGACAAGGCTGAGCGGGACAAAAGTGGAGCCCTCCGGTTGTTACGCCGGCATCCGGACAGCGTCAACAAAGCTGTCACCAACTTCCAACTGAGCTGGTAATTCGTCCTAAAGGCCTGTCAAATTAAGTCTCTTAGCGTATGAACCCCATGGGAGGTACTCGGGGGGTCCAAGGGGAGACTGAGACTACATGAAACGGCCCGTAATCACAGCGTCAGCCGCCATTCATTCCTTGTAATTCTCTCACCTAACACAAATTTGGGATTCGCCGATCATGTGCCGTGATCAACAGGCACCAGGATTATTTATTCGTTGGTGAGTCCCTTTCGTTGGGGAAATCCTTTGACATTTTTTTCTCATCCCCTTTCCAACATTTGTCTACTCACCTCACTCACACACTTCACCAACACTACATCCTCCCATCAAAATGTTCGGCTTCTCTATGTTCAAGTCTTCCAAGGAGGAAGAGACCTCCCAGCAGCCTACCTGGAACCCCAACACTCTCACTATGGAGCAGCCTACTAGCCCTGCGGCTCCCAATCAGCAGCAGGTCGTGACTGAGCAGCCTGTACGTGGCCTCCCCACACCATACTTTTTCCGTTCCTCTTTCTACCGTGCATTGTTTATGATTTCTCCCATGCCATATAGCTAATGATCGAACAGGCCAGCCAGGAGCAGATGAACATGAACCTCCGCGGTGGTGGAAATGGCGGTGGCATCTGCTGCGGAATGTACGTTCCCCTTACCTACCCAATGAGACCTCCATGCATCTCCAATGAGTGTAATGGGCAAGCATTGCAATAAAAAAAAGCTAACGAGTCGGGTACAGTTGCGCCGGTCTGGCTTGCTTCGAGTGCTGTGAGATCTGCTGTTAAAAGTGTCGCACGGACCCATCTTGGACATCGCCTGAGGGTCGTCATGATGTCTCCGCGACCGACTCTCGTGTCAATGTTATAGATACCCAGAGTTCTAGACTCGCTATGTTGAATGTTAATGCTAGCTATGGATGAGATGCGACGTGAAATGGCCTGCGGCCGCATCATACACTAAGGTTGAACTGGTGTTCGCAACGTGTACATATCAATGGACGTGATAGGTCATGTCTCCATCAATAATCTTCCGCCCACGTTCGAGTGTCGGCCTAGACTTATGTACTATTTTCAGTAGCAGTCTCGGTGTCATGGTTCGTATTTCAGTCGTCACTTGCATTCTGTAGCTGTGCCACATGACATGCTGGTTTGTATGCGGTGCTGACATAATTGAATCAAATAGCTCACTCATCAACGAGCTCGTGAATTAAATCGTATTGTCAATGGGACAACCATGGACGATCCCGCGTCATGTGGAATGGAACCCTAGGATCATTTAGGTAGCAGCCTTAGTGCCTCGGGCAGGACCTCGTACTACATGACGTCCATCACATGATTTCTTACAGGTTCAACTTTGTAGCCACCTTCAGCGTCACCCCCGCATGCTCATTGCTGATACATTGAAGATCTGATGATGATAGTGGCTCGGCCTCCCCGGACTCCGATCAGGGCCTGTCCCACCCCTCCCAAGCACAATCGGGTGACGCCGACCTGTCAGGGTAGTCCGGATGTCAACGCTCGACCAAGATCTTCACTGCGAATCATGACCAAACCAAGAGGGATCGGCGTTTCGACGTTCCCGAAGTGGGTTACTGTTCTAAGCGTCGCCGAATGGTGTGTGCGAGATGATGACTTGGTGGGACGGTGGCCCGCCTGGCTTAGGCGAACGGCGGCGCCATTATTATGAAATCATCTATATGCGTATGCATTATATGTGGATTAATTCACTCCAGCCACTTCACTCGTCTCCTATACACCACTATGCTAGGGTGTTTCTCCACTTCTTCACTTACACCCTCGGTGATGATGTTACCGCCCGAGGTTGAGTCGATCGGCTGGAAGGACTAAATATTGCTGTACATCCACCCTTCTTCTGGTCGCTTTGTTGCACCGCATCAACCCTCTACTGGGAACGATAACGGCCACCATGATTCCCCTTCTCATGTTTGCGGCCCTCGCGGTCGTCTTGCGTCTTCTTTGGTCCATCGTTACCAGTTTTCGTCATGCTCAAAATGCTCGCAAGTGGCACTGTGGTGCGATCCCCACCTATCCGGGTGATATACTCGGCATCAACACGTTGAAGGAAGTTCTGCGCGCCGACAAGGAGAAACTCATCCCCATGTTGTCGGCGCGGCGTGTCGAGACGATGACAGCCCGTGAAGGAAGATACGTCACGACCTTCCGCTTCCGCCAGATGGGAAGGGAGAGCGTCTTTACTTCTGACCCGAAAAATATGCAAGCCATTCTGGCTACACAGTTCAAGGACTTCGAGCTCGGGAATGCCAGAAGAAATACCATGCATCCGTTGTTGGGACCCGGCATCGTGAGTTCCCCTGCACCTCTGCCACACAGAGTATAGTCACAACAATTACTAACGCCGCCAATCGTGATCCAGTTCTCAGCAGACGGCGAAGCCTGGTCGCGATCGCGATCCCTACTCCGCCCGCAGTTCACCCGCGACCAAGTCAGCGACCTCGATCTCGAAGAACGCCACGTCCAAAAAGCCATGGCCGGCATGCTCGCTGACCCGTCCACCAAATGGACTCCCGAAATCGACATCCAGACCATCTTCTTCCGACTGACCATCGACTCTGCCACGGAATTCCTCTTCGGCGAGAGCGTCGAAAGCCAAACCGCCGCACTAAGCGGTGGTAAAATCATCGAGGACAAATTTCCCTTCTACTTCGACCGCGGCCAGTGGTACGCCGCGCAGCGCTCGCGCTTCGAAAAGCTCCACTGGATAGTCAACAACAAAGAAAGCCGCGAAACCGAGCGCTTCGTGCACGCCTACGTCGACCGCTTCGTCGACGACGCACTCGCTGCTGTGAAAGAAGGCAAAATCAACCCCGAAAAGGGCAGTTCGGACCACTACGTCTTCCTCCACGGCCTGACTGCCGCCACGCAGGACCCAGTCGAACTCCGCTCCCAACTTCTCAACATCCTCCTCGCGGGCAGAGATACCACCGCTTCGCTGCTGAGCTGGTGCGTTCTCCTCCTCGCGCGCCATCCGGATATCTTCCAGAAACTCCGCAACACTATCCTGTCCGACTTTGGCAGCTATGAAAACCCAAAGAACATTACCTTCGCTTCGCTCAAATCCTGCCGTTATCTCCACTACTTCATGAACGAGGTCCTCCGTCTCTACCCCATTGTGCCGGGGAACCGTCGCATCGCGGCGAAGGATACCACCCTGCCCCGCGGTGGAGGCCCGGACGGCTCCGAGCCCGTGTACGTCCGCAAGGGCCAACCGGTCGTGTATAGCGTGTTCGTCACACACCGACGGAAGGACATCTGGGGCGCGGACGCGGAGGTGTTCAATCCGGACCGCTGGGAGGACCGGAAGGTCGGGTGGGAGTATTTGCCGTTCAACGGAGGTCCGAGAATCTGTATCGGGCAGCAGTTCGCGCTTACGGAGGCTGGATATGTGCTTGTGCGGCTTCTGCAGAGGTTTGATCGGATCGTGGATGCCAGGCCGGACAACGAGATCCGGTTTAATGCGACGCTTACCAGTGCGCCGTGGGAGAATGTGGTTGTTAGGTTGAGGGAGGGGGCTTAGTGTGCCTGTTAGGTGTCTACCAAATTGTATTTTCACGAATAGTCTGTCTACCTAATGATTTTGCTTTTCGTTCTAGGGAATAATATGACAAGCGTTACCTGGACTGAAGCTGGTAATACTTAGTGCCAAATGCCATCTGTAGTCATAAGGGAGTAGAAATATTACAGTATAATACTGGAAAAAAGAAAAAGAAACAAAGATAAGATGATAGTACTATCATTTCTCCCAGGTCTAGAGATCTCAAATGAGCATCTCAAATCACTAAACTTCGATCTGAAACTCAGACCCTTTAGCTACAAGGCCTTGTTGGTCAAGTCCTAAGAACAAAAGAATGCCTTTCCCTGTGGTCCAACACGTTGTGCTTAGTATTTATGTCTAACCAACACCAGGGTTTACAGTATGTACACAAAGAAGAAAAGCAATGCAGGCTCTCCCTCTACAACCATCCGTCTAAATCTTAGTTGATAGATCTATATACAGGAATTTTAACGAAGAATTAAAGAAGTAAATAAAAGATTTTACAGTAATCTAATATAGGAAGGGGTCAGAGATATCGGTAAGGGGAGTAATTGTTGCAGAGTAAACCACCATGGCCCACCGAGTTAGGGCAGGGTTTCCGGCGGTCAGTTAGACAGATCCTAATTGACCTTTCGTTATATAAAATCATGACAAAGTCCAATAACATGACATGCTGAAACTTTTACCATCTGCAAGACAAGTTCAATCCATAATAGTTAGCGCTTAAAGACTCTTAGCAAAGAGACGGTACTTGACCACATTCGAAGTTGCAAACACCATACATACACCACGAACGAAAGCAGCAATCCCTAGTTTCCCCCTTACGTGAGTGATATCATGCGTAACTTTTGCAGAGGATAGTGGGAGTCATGGCGATGGAAGTACTTCAGGGTTAACTAGCGAACGTGGAAAACAGGTGTAAAAGTTCGCAAATATTCATCTTTCTTCAATATTCCTCTCGACGCATGTGGCATGTCACCAGGCAATAAATCAAGCATTTGTTCCATTCTCTATGGTTAGTCTTCAGAAATAACATCAGCGACTGGGGACGAGAGGTACTGAGGGCTCCCAGTACTATGTGTCTCTGTCGTTGATCTTTCAGTATTGAAACACTGAAGCATTGGAGGTAAAGATACTAACGTACGAGGGTCCACCTACTCTAGTAGAGCCACTGCGAGGTTGTTTTCACTATTGAGTATACGTACTTAATAGACCTGGCCCTTTTTACCGTGGACTGATAGATTTATGAACTATATTGAATCATCTTCTATCTCACGGTCATCTTATCCTTGCCAACTACAAGTAGATCCTAGTCATTGCAGCAAGTCGTATCTAATCAAGATAGCCGCCTAGTCGCAGAGTCCTTGACGAAGCCCTGGGTGTAACAATAAGTAACCATGTAGATTGATTACAAAAAGCCAAGCTAAGTACATAAAAAAGTGTCGTCATGTATCCTTTTCCTTCGCATCCCTGCTACGACTCCCCCCATCACAGCCAAACACACGCGTCTCACAGCGTAGCCGGGAACAGTCTCATTGCCCCTATTAGCGAAGAATCCTCTAGGTATAAAATCGTCACTATATGGTTTTCTTCCTGGCATGTTCGCCTTCGATTCCGTACGCTAGACAGAGCTTTGTGTCCCACAAGCTGGATACATCTATACAAACCATTTAATATTAGCTCTGTATAGATCAAGAGTACGCGTAATCTTATCAAACTCACCACTACAGCCGAGGCCAACCTATCGTTGGCAGCGTTCAGCTGTTTCAGATTTTCGAGCGATGGATTTTTCCGATACGCCGCCTTAGCACTGTCCCTGTTTTCCTGAGCTTGCCTTATGGCGGCACAAATATTCTCTGACACAGCTGGGTTGTCATCAGTTGGGAGAGCTGTAGTAGCCGCAATAAGAAGAGAGATGAAAATGACTGGGAGGAACTTCATCTTGGTACGAAGTGAGGGGAGCAGAAGAGGGCTGGGTAGGTTTTTTATCAGCTGTCTAGCAAAATAACTGGTTTTGAAAGTGAGGAAAAGAGACCAGTCACGACAACCAGAGAAATGGGGTTGTGTGTTTTTATAAATTTTTTTTGATATCTTTCTATTTCTCCCTCGCGGCTTTTACAGTCGAGAATAAGGGAATGATCGATCGAGCTGAATCGGACGATCTGAAATTAGTTTGCGGGTTCGTGTACACGAGTGGCCACGGCATTTCTCTAGCTTCCCAAGAAGAGTAATGATAATCTTGCACAAACACCATGTACTGAACTACTCCGTATGTACATACAGAATAAAGCTTCCCCACGTACCTTTACGACGGGGTACCAGCTCCGACTGCCTCAGGATTTAGTGCGGACGAGACAAGCAGCTCTGTCTCTCAAGATCCTGACCCAAACCCTATCTTCTCGACCCCATTGATCCCAAACTCATTAGTCTTGTTTGCTGTAGAGCAGAACCAAGCTACAGAATCTATTGTTACTTGAATCTACAACCCAACAAAGCCGGATCTTCAACTAACAGCTCTCTGTGTCTTAAAGAATGGCTATTCCCGTGCCAGACGGTATGAGTCGAGGACCGACTACAATTTCCGTCTTGGCTGTTTGAGGGTGCTTTATCTTGCTGCCTGCCTACGCCCTCCAGCCAGAACGATGCAACATAATCTGCGTCTTCCTCAGGCACGGGCGCCACAAAAGTGGATGCTCGCTTGGTCGAAAGTGATCAAGCGATTTGGTTAGACTTTCCCAGGACGAAGTGCAAAGCCCATACAGGGGTACTGGTTCACGGTGCTCAAAAAGAGACGGTTCTACCTGTCCTTCACTTTTAACTGAAGATAAAAAGCTATGAACAAGCATTTAATACTAACGTCGTGGAGCTGCAATGCCAGGATGTATGTATGTATGTACACAGCCATGATGGTGTTTGACAGTGATCCCCGGCGGTAGACAGGGCTGATTCCTCAACACTAATATCTTTCCCGTTAGGGCGGTATATACAGGTGATTCAAAACCCAGAGTAACCACATCGATCGTATAGTAGCATGTTAAAGCACACAGCGTGGGCGGTGAAAAGCTGACGGTCTGTGTCACCGTATACGGTATAAGAACCCCAGCCAACCCCCCCAAATCTCAAGGCTCTCCATCCGATTACTTCTTACAAGACCACGTTTGCCCTCTATTTGCCTAACGGGATGGACACCGAACATATCTGCTCAGCATGTAGCTTGTCGCTACAACAGCCACGTGAAACTCTTCCACGGCGTCAGCAATCGCGGGGCATGGTCTCTGGGTTCCAACCTGATTCTAAAAGAACGGACCACTGAGCCACCACCCAACTTCGAATCTACTAACCTCCGGTTCCTGGCCGAAAGAACGTCAATACCCGGCCCCAAACTCGTCGAAGAGTGACAGGAAGACGACGGGACCTATTTCCTGCTTACCAAATGGATCCTGGGCCGTCCCTTGAGTGAAATCTGGGCTACCATGTCTGGCGTCGACAAAGAATGGGTCGCAAAACAGACCGCGGAGTATCTGATGCAGCTTCGCGGGCTCCACTCAACCCCGAATGGAAAGCCTCGGCGGACAGCCACTCTACTCAGCTTTTCTGTTTCCGACTGGCTATGGCATCGGCCATGGCCCGTTTTCGTCAGATGATGAGCTGTGGGCTGAAATGGCGTTGGCCTTGGAGAAAGTGCCGGAGGATGTTCGTTTGGAGTTACGGAGGCGTATGCCTGCTGCTGCTCCCTATACCTTCACTCATGGTGACCTGACCAATGTTAATATCATGGTGGATTATGGGGATTTGGCTGGGATTCTGGATGGGGAATCATCAGGCTATTTTCCCGTTTGGTGGGAGTTTACTTGTGCAGGAATGGGTCTAGGGCAAGACGACAAGGAATGGAAAGACTTATTGCGCAAGTATCTGCCGGATCATACTGAGGCTCGTGAGTTTTGGTTGGACTTTTACGCCTTGCGCAAGTATCCGCATTTGGATGAGAGAGTGTTAAGCTTTTTTTAAGTAGCTGTGGTTTGAGCATGCCAAATGAGGCATAAGAATGGCGTACTATGTAGAAGGACCTTCAACTAGGTAAGCATACATAGGTAGAAACTAAAAGACAGAGAGTAGATATTGAAAGAACTAAAAAACTGATTCTTTATCTTTGCTATTTGGATTTGAGCATAACTTATATCCAGCAGATCCCTTAGGATCAGGCAGGCTCATGTCTATCATTCGTTATTGAAAAGCCAGCGGAGATAGACTCGAAGTCACCGTTCGGCTGCCGAGTTGTCTATACACCAGGGTATACTGTACAGTCAACCGGCTGAATCGTGATCCCATCTATGATAATAGCTAATAGTTAGATAGTGCAGACGAATTGAGCTGTGTTACCGACCCTTGTCTAGGATGACAGCAAAGAACGAACGGCTAGTCCTTAAATAGAGCAGTTCTTCAATGATTCTAATGATTATTCAAGTGTTTACTGAAGATGGCTACCACGTTGGGGCCACTTTTACGCTAGTTCTCTATCAGTGTCTATGGTTATATGGGGTTGCAATGATGCTCATCATCGTTGACTGAGAATACTGTATGATGAGCTCTATCCAAGACGGAAGCTGGTAATATGTACAACTGAAGTGAAGATGATCGATTCAATCAACTCGCCACCTCGTCGTCCCTGGCCCCTTAGAGACACTGGCTGTAGTAGGGGTTCTGCTTGACGCAGGTGTAACCGCTCTCGCAGGTTTTGGGTCCGCTATAGTTGATTCCACCGCACTGGTAGTACTGGGGGACGGCACTCGCGGAGCTGATGGGTGCTGCGGTAGATTTGCTGGCAGTCACAGTGACGGTAGAACGGTATCCACAAGCCAAGGCGGTCGAAAGAGTCGTCGGGGCGCTGCTTGTGGGCACACTGGAAGAAGCGCTGGACGAGTCGGAGGTTGGCTGAGGGGCTGGGTGAGATGGGGTGGGTGTGACAGTGTCGACTTCCGAAGTGGTTGCGGGGGCTTCGGCAACGCTGCTAGTGGAGGAGGATTCCACAGCGCTGATGATAGTCGAGGAAACGGAGGTAGTCGAGGCGGTGGCAGAGGTCGAAGTGCTGGCAGAGGTTGAGGTGCTGGCAGCTGCAGTCGATGGGACAGCAGAAGTAGCCGATGAGCTGGTGCTAGCGCCAGTGCCGTCCACAAAGTATTTCTTCAAGATGGGAAGGTATGTGGAGTAGGCAGTTCCGTCAGTTGGCTCCATGCTGTACATGTAGGATCCCCACCAGGGGCCAGCCGACCACCATTCGGCACCCATCCAGACGTCCGAGTTGTCTGACATGTAAGAGAGGAGACCCTCAACAGCCTGCTCACACTGCTCGTTGACACCACCGGCGAATTCACCAAGGAAACCCTTCTTGTTGTTGGTCTTCAACCATTGCGTGGCGGTCTGCAGTCTCTCCTTGCCGATGGTCGAGCTGGCACAGGCCTCGGAGGTACCAGAGCCATCCGAGTCGAGATACTGGTGCATCTCGTAGACAATCTTATCTTGCGGGTCAGTCAGTTGACTGAGGTTGTCATTGGTATCGGCCCACTTCCATGCACCCGAGTACGAGTTGCCCTCGACAAAGATGTATTGTGTCGTGGCTCCAGCCGCGCGAATACCGTCAATGGCTGCCTGGTTCAGGCTAAGGACGAGAGACTGTTCCATGTCATGGTACTCGTTGTCTGCATACGTTAGTACTCAACTTTATTAGTAGGAGATGCCCTTGTCTTACTAGTATCGAAGATGACCTTCTCGTTAGATGCGAATTCTCCAGCGACGGTCTTCCAGAAGGTTTTGAAGTCAGAAGTAGAAGAGATGATACTTCCAGAGCTAAGTAACTAGTTAGCTTCACATAGCCTCAAGACATAAACTACGAATAGGTCTTACTATCGTCCGTAGTTGTGGGGGTCGAGAACGGCATAAGCACCACTATCAGTGATGGCCTGGACAGTCTACAAAAGCATTAGCAAAAGTTGTAGGAGCATCCGTTGGGTGGAGACATACAGATTTCAGGTCTTTCAAGTAGGTCGCGTCCAGAGATCCAGTCATCTGGTTAGGCGCCAAACGCTCCATGAGAAAGGGGATACGGAAGACGTTCATTCCATCATCCCTCAGAGTCTGAATCTTAGATGTATCAGGCCAAGTGTAGTCGGTGCCCAGTGTTCCTGGGATGCTGGATCCGAACTCAGCACCAGATTCGCTAACGCCGACCCCTATCTCATTCGTTAGATTCAGTAACTGTAAAGTCTACTATTCGACATACAGGTGAACCCTGAGCCACGCTTTTTGATATCCCGCGTAGGATACGCATGCACCAGGCTTGCAGCACTTGCAGCCACGATCAAATTGCCGATTCTCATTGTGAATGAATGTATGCCGAGCTTGTCGGGAAAAGAAGGAATGACAAAAAGAGCGAAGAAATGAAGGATCGAAAGAATGAATGAGTGAGTGAATGACAAGAACCAGTCTTGAGTTTGGAGTGTTAGAGCATCACCAGAAAACGTTGAAAGTCGTACATCTTTATATTCGTTCGGCCTTGAAAAAAGAGATGTCCGGCGATTCCGCCGGTTTCCACATTAATCTCAGCCAGGAATTCTACCGTGGGAGTTCTACTAGAATTCTGAGACAGTTAATCTGTGGGCTGATCCAGAATCTGTTTCCTCAGTGTACACATTTCCTAAGATGGAACACATTCCGAATACCCCCGTGGGCCGATCAAGTTGTTGCCTGCTCGATATGAAGAGGCGTTCAGACTAGCTGGCAGTCGGCGATGTTAATCTAATTCAGGGGCTTAATGGCAAGAACAGCACGCCCAGAATCATGAAGACAGCTCCGATGGTGCTAGTGAATGGTCTTGAGAAATAGCGGTGCTATCGCCAGTCATCTATGAAGCACGGGCTTGTGGGACTGGCGGAAATGAATCAAGCTCCTGCGCCAATAGCAGATTACTTAGGGCACGCTTAACCAAGCGTAAGCCGGACTAAGGAACCCATTCGAATGGAGATAGACTGGCAGAAATCTGATTATTCGCTCTTATGGTAAAACTGCGGCAAATTACAGATCCAATTTCGTGGGGCCGGGTGCAGAGTGAGCAAAATATGTTATCAAGATGAAACACGGAAAGGCTCCGCAGATTGGTGGAGGAATCTCGACAAAATCCGTTGTGGGTGCTCGGCAAGTTCCTTAACAGCCAACGTTGGAATAGTGGGCGACACCAGGGATTAGTTGAAATCTTAGCGAAGCTTGTTCGATGAAACTGAAACAACATGAACAGTGGAAGGATCATCGGGGGCTGGTACAATCGATTGAGGAGCGACTACTATGAGACATTAGTTCCACTCTGATAGGTTTGCAACTAATCATAGCTAGTAGCTGGACTCGATTCAAACGCTGCGCGGATCCAAGAAAATTTTCCCGCCTCTGTGGACTCGTTTGGCTATATACGGTGAACCTGTCAAATCGTACATGGTACGTCCATGTATATGCATGAGAGGAAAGGGGACGGGCAGAGTTAAGATCAAATGACGCTCTTCGCCAATGGTAAGAGGTCTTTCCAAGCCAAGAGTGTGGGATCATTCGAAAGAAATCGAGATGGATTTAAAATCTCCGAATGTTGCGTGACTCGACATGCACCTGACCTGGCATGGGCCAAGGCAAACACGTGCAAAGAGGAACTCCCGGCCCTTGCCTTTGGGTGAATAGTGGTGATTGCTATTGCTAACACTGCTACTATTCTCACTATCGCTAGTACTGCTATTGCTACTACGATGGCAACTCCACTGTACAAAAGATAGCGCTGAAAAGGGTTGAGATGCTCTGCTGCAAATAGGAGTAAATTTGGGCATCATGTCAATTATGCTATGCTATGCTATGCTATGTACAAGAATCAATCATCACGGCCGAGAATAACAGGACAGCCAAGAGAGGCTGTTGAGACTATTATTGGGTTACTTGGAACTCGTACGATCGGTCTCCGTTGCCAAGTGGAATAGCGTTCACCTCATTGTCATAAAGGGTGCGTTCAAAATACCTCACCCGTCCATCTTTACTAACAAGGATAACGGTCTGCTTCTGGGTCCCGTACGCACCATGCAAGTATGACTGGTCCAGCTCATCGCCCTGCTTAGCACTAGTCGCCTTTTCCTCAGTACAAGCCGCAGCTACACCATCAGCTGGTCTCGTAGGTTGCTCTTTAGTCCCAAGCTTGGGAATGAAAATACTCTTCCTAAAGTGCGGGAGATAGTCTTCCGCAGTTGCGCCTTCGGAAAGGTTAGGGAGCGTATCCTTGCTTAATAACCCAAGTAACCTATCGATGAGTTGATCTTCATCCTCTCGAGCCTCCACGTGTGCCTGGATAACTTCAATCATCAGCTTCTCGCCATCGATTATCTTTGGCCAGGAGCGATCATCAAAATGCGTGTTGCTTAGTCCCACCGTCTGGCCCTCTTCTGTCGCCAGCCAGGTGACTTGGTCCATATTGGATGAGCGGTTGGAGATCACAGCCAATGGCTCGTCAACATAGCCACACACCAGGCTAAATCCCCCGACATTCCTCGCCGTCGCGCTTGCTACCATCCTCTGCGCAAAGTCCCGAGTAGACTCTCTCGGCTCAGGGGCGACCGTAAGCCAGCCGTTGACGATAGCACCTCGACTTTGTGTGCCGGTAGCCTTCTCGGACGTATCTTCACGATAGTTCGTTAAAACCGCAATCTTTCCCTCCTTCGTAACCCCCATCCATGTTCCTTGTGTAGCTCGTGCTAGGTCCCGGCCGCCTAATATATTGGAATTCGATTCGGGCCACCAATCAGCCGGGGCGGTTGGTCGACGGAGGTATTCCTAGACACTGTTAGGTCACGGCATATCAGGTGATCCCGTTGCAGGTAATTTGGTCGCATACATCCCTGTTGTCGATAACAATAAGCGAATAAGTCGGATGGGCGGTAGATATTAATGCAATACACATTTTAACGGTTCGGTAGCGTCAAGTCGTTATCGTGCGTGTTTGAGTCCAGGGTACGGTGCTGCTTGGAGGGGGCAGCTACCAGTTTCTTGCTGACAGATATGCTTAAATCTCAATATGTTTGATTAATGAAATTAACGAAGGGTCATCAAAGATATACAGGCATCAAATTTCCACATCTGTAGAAGTTGTGAGGGACAGGCACCAGAACCAACATAGTCCAGGCGCTGAAGTCATCGGGCAGAGACACTGCCGGCAGATTCCCCTCACCGCCTGTATTGACCCACTAATGTGGGGCTCGCTTCCACAAATAGCAACTTCTCACGTGATCATACTGTAGGCTGCATGACTCAGCACATGGAGCTGTCGAGATGCAAAAAGTACGCGTGTGATTTGAGAGACTGTCTCTCCTGCAAGGTACTACATAAAACCTTTAGATTATATCGATGAACTGACGGGTTAGTTGTCGTTGTTTGAAAGATTTGACACGTCGTAGTATGACCTGGAAACGTAGTCAGAAGGATGAATATATGATACCAAACCAATTTCCTGTGGACAAGTTTCAGCAATGAATAGCAAAGCAACCACGTTGCTTTCGACCAGCAACACTTCCGCTTCATCCAATATATACGACTTGAGACTCTTACCTCTCTCGTCCGGATAAACTTTTCCCAGGCATTGAACAAACCTTAAATCATGACGTCAAGCCGGGTGTGATTCGCTGCGACTCGTGATCCTGGAAATAGAAAGGTTGCCCTAATCTCGTCGATGGTTCTTCAGCTCCATCTGCTAAACTTGTAAGAGTAATAGTGGATGGATCACAGTAGGGCTGATCTCCCTTAAGGCAACCATCGTTGTGTCGTGCTGGCCTTTTCTCTCTTTCTTTCCCCTTACCACCCGTCTTTGAAAATCATATTTCTCCTCTCCTCTCTTTCTCTAGTTGCCGTTGCGGCTGGCCGCTTCTTCTTCCGTACTCAGCCGGTCGCGTGAAGTCTCGCCGATCAACATTTCTTTGCCCCGCAAAAGCAAAGGCTTCACTGACCGCCAAAGATTCTCCCAAACCCTTGCCGACTCATTCACGTCGGCCACGTTTTGAGGCGTCTCCAAGCAAGTGAAATATTCTCCGTTTTCCATCATGTTTGGAATCATCGCCGATTTGTTGTCGTAAGTAATATGACTCCCATTTGCGGGAACCCCGGAACTGGGTTTCTATATCTCCCGAGAATTTTCTGCCTGTTTCTGGAACGCTAACGGGATTCATGCGTAGCTCGGTCATTACGATCCTCTTCCCTATTTTCGCTTCTTTCAAAGCCCTCCGCTCGTCGAACCCCTCGCAGTTAGCACCATGGTTAATGTATTGGGTGGTCCTGTCGGCCATCTTGATGGCTGAGTCCTGGACGGTGTGGATTTTGGGATGGTATGTTACTTCCGCCGGAAATCACCACGATACAGATGTCTAACACACATCATATACAGGCTTCCGTTCTATAGCTGGTTCCGTCTCTTCTTCTTTTCCTATCTGGTTCTGCCCCAGACTCAGGGTGCCCAGATCATATACCAGACTTACGTTGACCCGTTCCTGGCCCAGCACGAACGAGAAATTGAAGAGTTCATCGGTCGCTCTCATGAACGTGCCAAGGCGCTGGGCCTCCAATACTTTTACCAGGGGCTGGATTGGGTTCGTGAGAATGTTTTCCACCTGCCCGCCCAACAGGCTGCCCCTCCGCCTCCGGCGACCGGCCCTGCTGCATACGCTCAGTCGCTTCTCTCTCGGTTCAACGTCCCGACAGCTGCCGGAGGAAATGCTAATGCCCCTGCCCAGGGTAACGACTGGCTATCGGCCATTGGCTCTGCCGTGGCGTCTATGACCTCCACCGGTAAGACTCCGGAGGCCCGGGCGGAGGAACTCTCGGCCAGCGGCTCCTTCTTGCCCCGTGACATGGCTGGCATGTCTCATGATGAGAAGGCCAAATACCTCTCAAACCAGCAGGATATGTTGGAAGTGCTGCGCAATGCGTTGGCGAAGGAACAGCAATCTCTGCACGGACGGGACGATGACCCCGCATCCGGCTCGTCCCTGAGGAAGAACCGTAGCGACAACTCGTTTGATCATATCGAACCTGAGGACATCCGTGATCGGTCCACCAGCAGCAACTGGGCGTCTGGCATAGACTTTGCGGCGCGAGCAGCGGAGGAATTGGCTCGGTCCCGCGGTTCTCATTAAGCGTGATCCGACTCTTTCGCGCTTCTCTTATCTTTCGGTCTTTGCTTTGTTATTTGCTGAATTCAAAATGGGTTGTGTGTACGCAGGATAGATGGTTTGAACAATTAGAAACGAAAATCTTAACTGGCTGAGTAATTTTTTCTTCACGGGGTAAATGAGCCTTGCCGCAGTCGTCGGATGCGCTAGCGAGTGGGCGCGTATGCAGAACCATATAGAGTAGTAAAATCAACAGCCTCGTCAGTACATCCCTTCTGTCCGTCATTCCCCCGCGTGGTCTTCACTCTCCGGGACGGTTGACCATCGGCTTTTCTGCCTAACGACCTAGTGTGCCTTAGCGCGTCAGTCATATAAGAACACTGCTGCTGATCAGTTACTCGAACCATAAACCTTGACTTCAGCTGCAGCGCTTCAAGCATTCCCTCTCCAGAATCATGGAACGACTTCAGCAAATTGTAGCACATCTCACCCCGTCCAATATCACCACAGAGTCCATCCTAAACACCTCAAAAATACTAGTCAATCATGCGGTGGACCAAGCATCCCAGATAGATTGGTCACACCTTCCTCAAAATACTGTACACTATGTTTCGGAGAACCCGAAGAGCGTGCTCTGGGGAGCGGTGCAAGCTGGGGCCTTTATTTGTCCCGGCATGGTTACGGGACCTCTTATGCACGCCGCTGGATTTACGAGTGCTGGACCAGCTGCTGGTATTTTATTTGATTTTATTTTATTTTTATTTTTTTCAGCAGTTACCTACATTCCATCGAGATAGCAGCTGCTAACGCATTATATGATAGGCTCGGTGGCTTCATGGGCACAAAGTCACATCACACCTATTGCTGGACAAGGGATCTTTGCGCATGTTCAGAGCGCAGCGATGAATGGATATGGACGCGCTATTGTCGATGGCGTGGCTCGGGGTATGGTTTTGGCGCCACGAGCTGCGGCCGGGGCATGGAGGTACTTTCGGGAGTGAAAACATTTCTATTGATAAGGGCGTTTGTCTGGTACTAGTAGTGCAAGGGTGATTTTGTGAGTTTTTATAGTAAACATTGATGTTGTTTGCAGAAGATCAAATTGAATGGTTGCTATGAGGTACAATGAGAGATCGCCTACAGTTACAGATAGTATATATTTTTGCCTAGACCATTAAGTGACAATAGATCTTTGACAAGGACCTTTCGGTAGCTGCAGTAAGGTTTCTTTAAGGTTTCTTTACAAGCGATAGCAGATATGAACCTGGACTGCGCCATGACAGGCTGTGGCAACCAGGATGACTATCATTGTATCATGCTATACTAGTCTATAAATAAATAATTAAATCTGCGGTATCAACTCCGTTGCAGGGTGGCTGCCCAACGCCCCCCATAGATTCAATCAATCCTTGCAGGAAGATGAGACTACGACGCCCGACCCTGCTTTTCCAGCTAGTCTCTTGCGACTATTGAACAGAAGTCGGTGAAGTCGGGTGTACGCTTTGGTGGTAGATGGGCGGCGTCCATGGGAGCAGGAGGCTGACGAGTCAGTGACTTTTGGTACACTAACCCCGTCTGGGTTTAAAGTCCGGTTGATTGGGTGACTGCGGATCGTGGCAATTCATACCTGAGGTGTCGACAACCTATTCACGAGAGCCTCTTGAGTGGAGGATTTTCCTGATGAAGCTCCACTAGACAGAGATCGTTGGACCATGAGAGGTACCAGTGCGTTCTGCTTGGACCAATCATGAAAAAAAAGGCATCTGATTCATGGCCACCAAATGAATCACAGCTTGAAATAAAGAGTAGGCAACAGCTGGTTGGATTGGAATGGTTGAAAGAACAATGACTGCTGAATAAATCGTAAATGTGTGACGGCTTGGCGCTATTTTTTCTCCTCCGCCTCAACCCGACTTGTTCCCGATCGGGTAACCAGCCTGGTTTCTGTATTGTTCGGTCTGAGAGTTGAATGTACAGCACCTCTACTGGTACTGTTAGTTAGTCGTAGACTAATGGTTCTAGGTATTGCTCCGTTGCTCCTGCTGGTTCTCTCTTCCCTGACATGGAGTGGGGATGCGTATCGTGGTATGTATTTTTGGTATACGGAGTACTGTCCGATCCTCTTCTCTTCCCTTTGCCTTGTTCTTAGAAAAGAAAAGACGAAAAAAGATAATCATAAGAATGAGAACAATAAAAAAATCAGACGAAGAGAATAGAATAAACAGATTCATCCTGAGGATCTATTTGAAACCGTTAAAATATAATAAAAGGAACTGTTAAGTGGTCCATCCGGAATACCTCCAGTTTTGTGCTGTTCATATCCACTGCCTACATTGTTGGTATGGTGTTTTCCGTACGGAATTTGTATTTTTGTTCAATTATTTTTTTTATTTTTTTTTTTATTTTACGTTGTTGGTCTCGCTCGTTTCCACTTTGAGCAGTAAAAAAAAAAAAAAAAGCACCACCAGAGCAGAAGGGCAAAAAAAAAGGGAACCAGCGAAATCTTTCCCAACTTCTTCTTTCTCTCCCCCTCTTTGGAATTTATTGTCCTTTTTTCCTTTTTCCTGCTTTACCCCAGGATCCCTTCGTCGTTTACCCACGACGTTTTCTTTTTTATTCTCTTGATCATCAGAGAATCTTTTTTTTTGTGTGTCGGTGGTTCTTCTTCCCGATACCTTAAAAAAAAATCTTTTTTATCCTCCAATTTCCGTGGGAGAATAAAATTGACATCTATTTGATGTGGGATCTGGAGTGTGTTCGCCTTCTGCTGTAACACGCTTTGACATCACCCACACTGCCTTTCTTCTCTACTATCAAAACTCCTTCCCGCTTATCTTAAAACTTTTTTTTCCCTTCCCTTCTTCCCTTTTTCTTTCTTCCCCTTCCCCTCCAAACTAAAAGCGCTTTTGTTTTAACAACTCATCTCACCTACCTGTCTAATGAGCTCGATCCCACCAAAGTCAGGCCTTCAACCTCAAGGACAGAGCACCTCTAACCAGGCCGCCTCTCAAACTCCCGCTCCTGCAACCTCTGGGAATCCCTCTTCTCAGCCGGCTGCGACCAAGTCCTACGCCAGCGCCACCAAAAAGTCCGCGACGGACTCGACCGCCGCTCCCGTCACCGTGGGCGGTTCATCGCAACATGGGAAGTCGACCTCAGTATCTCCTGTGAGCGGCAAACCCATGCAGCAACCTCAGACCCCCGGCGTCACCATCGTCAATGGCGCCCCGGCTCCTACCTCCGCGCAAGGCGATCACTCTCGCAAGCCCTCCGTGACCATCACCTCCGCCGGTACCTCAGGCTACATCCCCAACGGGGGCCCCAGCAGTCGTCCCAATAGCTTGCAGTTTGGCTTCGCTGCCAACCAGCCAGCCTCGCCCAATATGGGTAACCCAGCTGTGCTGGCCAACCAGCCCCAGTCCGGTTTGGGTGTCAACCCAAGTGCGAACCCCCGTGTTACCTCGCCTCAGACTTCGCCGTCGCCTATTCCTCAGCCCGCCTCGAGCGGTGGCCGGCCACCGCCGTCGTCATACCAGGCTCAAGGCAATGTTCCCAACTTTGGCAGCTTCGGTGATGCAGGTGACAATGTAAGTACCTCCTTTTCGTTCTTCCTCGTTGAAAATTTCGATGGTATCCGTTTCCTTTCGGTTTTCCCCGATCTTTTTGTGAATTTATCTTGTGATATTCTTGGCTCTTCTTCTCTGTACCCTTTTTTTTTTTTACGACACCATAGATATGGCGTGGAGAGAAGGACAGAGAGAGAATTTATTTATTTATTTATTTTTATTTTGTTTTTATGCAAGTTGTTGAGCTTAAATGCGGGTGATATACTGGGATCGATCTTTCTCTTGGCACCTGGAAACTTTCGGGATTAATAATAATCGTCCCACTAGCAGGTTCGTCCGTCACAAGCCCCCCTTGGTCCCGGTCCTCAGTCGACACATCTGCGTCGCGAATCGTCTCAGTCGACACACAGCGACATGAGTAACCACATGGGCAGTGGCCCCGGTCGTGGTGGTCATTACCATCAGGGTGGCCGTGGTCGCGGATACTCGCAGTCAAATTATCAGGGCCAGATGGCCTACTCGCCTGGTCCTAGCTTCCGCACTCCCAACCAGCCCCGGGGTGGTATGAACCCCCAATACCATCCTCCCAACCAAGCACGCCCGATGCCGCCGTTCCCTAACTCGCCCCAGGCCAACCGCAGCCCAGCGTTGGCCACTGCACACCCCGCGACGCCGCAGATGAGCACCGTCCCGATGGGACCCCCCCAGCCCTACAGCGCCTATCCCCCACACATGGCGCACCAATCTGTGAGGACCCATTCTTATACCAGACCCCCTCGTCGTGGCGGCCTCCTCCCCAAGAGGAAGCCTGGTCCCCGAGTCTTATCTTCCCCCAATGCCCCCCCTCCCCACCCCTCTATTTCACTTCCGCCGCCCAATCTGGCGCCAGAGAGCGGTCAGTTTGAACACTATCTAACATTGATGAAATCGAACCAGGGCCCTTACTTTGACCCCAACTATGGCTACTACCAACAATACCCCATGCAGCAGTTCATGGCTCCCCCCTCGTCCCCTCAACCTCGTCCCGGCATGCCCTACAGTCCTCAGGCCCCCTATATGCAAGGCCAGTACCCCCCTCAGCAGCCGCCACAGGCCATGTCTCGCTCGCCCTCGCAGGTGTCCAATGACCGGCCCGGCTCCAGCTTGGGACACGGTCAGCCCCCGGCGGGTCCTCCCGCCTCCGGCCATGCGCACACCGCCAGCCGTCCCTCCAACAGCCCCGCTCCAGGCGTGCAGAACTTCGTCATCCCGTCGAGCAAGAAGAGTGCCATTGTCATCAAGGACCCTGGCAGTGGTGCGGTGAAGACCTTCGAGAAGGCCCCAGCGTCTCCCGCTCGTGCGACCCCATCTCCCGTGAAGTTGGCGACTCCGACCGCCACGCCGCCTCCTCGCAGCAGCAGCGGTGCGGATCACACCCGGACCGACTCCAAGGTAACCAAGACCGACGAGGAGAAGAAGCAGGAGCTGAAGGATGCTGTGCGCCAGAAGATCGAGCAGGATGAGGCCGAGGCCCGCCGCAAGAAGGAGGCTGCAGAGACCGAGGTAACTCGCCAAAAAGAAGAAGAAGAAGAAGCCGCCCGCAAGAAGCAGGAAGAGGAGACGGCCCGCAAGCAGAAGGAAGAAGAGGAGGCTGCACAGAAGAAGGCTGCCGATGAGGAAGCCGCGCGGAAGGGTCTGGAGGATCTCAGCCTGAAGGACAAGGCCGAGGATGCCAAGCCCGCCGCGGAAGAGTCTTCCAAGGCCGCTGAGCCCACTCCCGCTCCTGCTGACGATGATGAAATTGATTACGATGCTATCGAGCGGGAAATGGCCGAGCTCGAGGCCAAGGAAGCTGCTGCCGAAGCCGCCTACTATGCCAAGAAGCAAGCCGAGAAGGAGGAGAAGGAGCGCAAGGAGAAGGAGGAGCGGGAAGCCTACGAGGCCAACATGAAGAAGGCCGAGGCTGAGGCCGAGGCTCTCGAAGAAGCTCGGATGAAGAAGCGCGAAGCCGGTGAGCAAGACACTTCAAGCAAGGACCTGTTCGCTTCGCTTAAGAAGGGAGGATGGGCTGCGACGGAAGTTAGCGAGCCCGCTGAGAGCGGAACCGCCACTCCGACTTCTGATGCTTCGATGGGTCCTCCCGCCAAGCCCGCCAGTGCTGGCAAGCGTGAGAAGCCTGCTGCGCTCAAGTTGGAGACCAACAAGGCCGTTGAGCCTCCTCAGCCTAGTGCCGCTATGAAGTCTCTTCACTCCGCTCGGCTGATTGAGGACCTGAGCCAGGTTTCTTACCCTGCCTCCATTGTGTCTCCCAACCCCGCTTTGAATGCCAATGCACCCGTCGATCGCAAGTTCCATTACAACAAGGAGTTCTTGCTTCAGTTCCAGAGTGTGTTCAAGGAGAAGCCATCCGTCGACTGGGATGCACGCGTGCGTGAGACCGTGGGTGATAGCGACTCCTCTCGCCCACAGTCGGCTCGCACCCCGATGATGGGTGGTCGCAATACTTCCCGCTCCGGCATTTCCCAGGGATTCCAGATGGGCAGCTTCGTCCAATCTGCGTCCCGGCACAGTCTACCTCCGGGCTCAACCTCCGAGCAGCGCTTTGCTCTTGCCAATGCCGCTCGTACCGCTTCTATGAACAACTCATTCGGCTCTTTCGGACGCGGACCTATGCCGATGGGCTCGCCTGCGCTCAGTCGCACCAACTCTGCCAATCCCATGATGCCAGGATCCCCTCGCCCGGGTTCCAACCGTTCGGGCACCCGCACCGGCAGCAAGCGTGAGAAGCATCAAGCCAAGAAGGAAGAGGAAATGGCCAAGTCCATGCCTCTTACCGCCGGAAAGGAGGTCGCAGCACTCCAGGTTTCATCCACCGGTTGGAAGCCCCGCAGTGTGGGCCAGGCTCCTCAGTCGGCTGCTGCTGCTGCCCCTGGTGCTGGTTATCTGGCTCCCGACGTGGTGCAGCGCAAGGTCAAGGCTGCTTTGAACAAGATGACTCCCGAGAATTTCGACCGTATCTCTGGCCAGATCTTGGAAATCGTCTCTCAATCCAAGGACGAGTCCGACGGACGTACTTTGCGCCAAGTGATCCAGTTGACCTTCGAGAAGGCAACCGACGAGGCTCACTGGGCCTCGATCTATGCCAAATTCTGCAAGAGCATGCTTGAGAGCATGAGCCCAGAGATCAAGGACGAGAACATCCGCGACAAGAACGGTAATGTCGTTGTTGGCGGTAGTCTGTTCCGCAAGTACCTGCTCAACCGTTGTCAAGAAGAGTTCGAACGTGGCTGGAAGGTGAACCTCCCTCCTAAGCCTGAAGGCCAGACTGAGGAGGCTGCCATGATGTCCGATGAGTACTACAAGGCTGCCGCTGCCAAGCGTCGTGGTCTGGGTCTCGTTAAGTTCATTGGTGAACTGTACAAGCTTGGCATGTTGACAGAGCGTATCATGCACGAGTGTTTGAAGAAGCTGGTTGACTACGAAGGTGTTCCTGACGAAGCCGAGGTAGAGAGCTTGACCAGCCTGCTGCGTACCATTGGTGCCAGCCTTGACGCCTCCGAGAAGGGTCACACGTTCATGGATGTCTACTTCCAGCGCATTAACAACATGGTGCAGATCCAAAATCTGCCTAGCCGATTGAAGTTCATGCTCATGGTAAGCCCCACAAGATCCTCATCCACGTTGAGTGTGTATCTAACACCCATCCCTCTTTTTTTTCCAGGACATCATCGATTTGCGTAATGCCAAGTGGAAGTCCAAGGACGCCGACAAGGGCCCCAAGACTATTCAACAGATCAGAGAAGAGGTATGTGTATCTTGGCAGTATTTGGTATGCTTTTCTCTCTAACCGTCACGGTAGGCTGCTCGCGCACAACAAGAGGCCGAGATGGAGCGTCTCCGCCAGCAAGCTAACCGGGGCGGCCGTCCCTCTATGGGCCGTGGTGATGCTCGCAGCTACTCTGGCTATGGCAACCAGGCACCTCCTCCGGACTACGCCTCCAGCAAGGTCGGCAGCGACGACCTCCGTCGCCTGCGTACGACCCGCAACACCAGCCAGCCCATGTCTTTTGGTCCCTCCAGCATGCTGGGCTCTCGCAGCAGCAGCGGCAGGAAGAACCTTGGCCCTGGTGGCAACTTGGTTCGTGGCAGCGATGATAGCGCTGCTAGCAGCCGGACTGGAACCCCCCCTGCTGGTAAGAAGGAAGACAAGGAAGCTGCGTCGTCGATCAACGCGTTCAGGTAAGTTTTAGCTTTCACGCATCGTCTATTTTGGAAACCCCCTTCTGACTTTGATATAGTGCTCTTGCTGCCTTGGAAGACCGCGACAACATGGCTACTTCCCCCCCTTCCAACCCTACCTCCCCTTTGCTAGCCAAGTCGCAACCCGCCGTTGAGCGCCGGCCATCCAAGACCCCTTCGAAGGACGGCGAGGAAGCATCATAGATTCTCTGGCAATGATAATGAAAATTATTCCGTTTCTTCTGGAAAGATTTCCCACTTATTCTTCTCTTTTTTGTTGAACCTTATGCCATGTTATTCATGTCACATGCTCATTCCTCCTAATCTTCTCGTCCATGATTTCGGTACCCGGTTGCTTATACGCTCTTCCGTTCCCATCCATTGATTGGAAGAGGGAGACGCTTCCGACGTTATAATGTACAATGAATGTTGTGTTTCAAAAGCGAAATGCCATAATGAAGGTGGGGCTTTTGAAGAATCTAGCGAGATAGGTTGGCTTGCAGGGATGTCTGATATGTCCTCTTTGTTTTTTCTTGTTATGTCCTTTGCATTTCAATACCCGGAGTTGCTTCAGCAGTTTTCCGTCCCGGACAAGCGTTGACACCGACGTTTGACCCAACCAGGACAAGACTTTCTCACAGCTACCTGTTTTGTCTCATGCCAGGCATGATGTAGCTTATGTGTTTATTTCTTTCCCCCTGTCGTTTTCAGTCATCTTTGTATGCATTGCATCTACACTGGCTTGGTGTGTGCTGGCGATGTCTGCTTCATCTGCTATGATATGTCTCTCTAAAACCCTTTGCTAGACAAAAACTTCGTTAGAAAAAGTTTCCTCTTTTCATTTCAATCACCTTCTATTTGCCACCTTCCATACCATGCCCTCGCGGGGTGATGATGTGTTCATAGTGTTCTGCCGTTCCTGAGTGTATTTCTCAAATTGATTGACGATATCCCCGACGTCAAGTCACTCACCTAGCCAAAGTCATCAATTGAGTTCTGTCTCCGTGTATTATCTAGCCCTCGATTAAAGGTATAGCATAGCATCTCTCAGCCTTTCTGGTAATCATCTACCTGTCTACATCGTAACTTCATCGACTGGTTCTTCCATAAGTAATATTATGTATACATTTCTTAATAATGACTATCGTATCCAGTCCTTATCTATATATATATGATAAACCTTCGAGACTGACGTTATCATAGATGCAGGATCTACCTCGTTGAGCTTGGTATTTTTCTGCACTGTGCAGAATAGCGGGTAGTTATTGGTTGTGCGGATGGATTTTGGTAGTAAGTATGTTAGATTTTTGGGCGCTGCTCGATTTTATATATTTCTTTTTTCGAAAAAGGAGAATCATAAGAATAAGAATAAGATCGAGGCACATTATCATAACGCATCTTGTAAGTACATTATCTACTTACTGCATGGAGAATAGATAGTATTATACACCTGTTTATTTTGGGGCTGTTATTGTCGGCTTTGGAAATATATCTTCTGGTTGAGACAGAATATTGGTTTTCTACTTTGGTTTGAATGAGGGTTTTCTGGGTAGTTTCTTTGTATGAATTGAGTGATTTATCTGTTTATTGTGTATCTATCTATGGTTTATGCATAGATGCGAGATCTATTCGTGCGATCTTGATGCTGATGCTAATGCTTGTGCCTAGTCGGTGTATGATTGAGATTATTGTATGGGAGTGGGGTTTGAAGTTGAGGATCGCGGTGGTGATTCCCGTTAATTGCTGATTAGCCTGAGGCTTGTAATATATTCGGTTTCATGATGGACAGTGTAGCCACCTTGCAGGCGGGACTGGTCTCTATGTGAGGAAGTAGAGACGTAGTCAGATATACACATAGTGGTCCGTCGAGAGTAGAGATGGTGTGTGTGTGTGCCTCCTTTGTATAGAGCGATGTATCGACCTGATATTCATGTCGTCATGAAATTCCTCTCCATGGTAGCTTCCGGTTATGTAGTGAGGTTATGACTTAGTTGGCTGATGGTGTGATGATGTGACTTCTAGCGGAGATACAGGGCTAGCACCCTTTCTCGGATGAGTTCTGAACTGGTACGTCATGATAGCTCGGTAGAGCAGGCCATCCAAGGCTCACTGGCCATTTGATCCCTTCTCGGTCATATCTTCAGTAACAATGACCGGAATGTTCAGTTTAGAACTGCCTGGTCTTGGTGTACTCTGAGTAGAGCTGGCCAGCTCGGACTCATCCGTCGACGCTGCATCAACTGCCTTGGACTCTTCCGTAGATACCGTCTCCGATGACGAGCGCTCGGGCGGAGTTTTGGCCTGGGGAACAGGTTCGTCGTCCGTTGTGCTTTCCGTTGCGCTTTCGCTTTCGGTGCTCTCCGGGCTTCCCGCTGCTGGGCTATGGGTGGTGGCAAGGGAGCCGCTATTGGGAGACGGCGAGTCATTCTCATCATGGCTAACACTGCTCCGCTCGGACATCGAGAGCGAGCTTCGGGAGTTGGCGTACGACTGAGGCAGACCGAGAGCGGCGGCTACAGCAGCTTCTTCATCTGGAAGTCTTGAGACATGACTGTCTGTACTCGAACCTGCGTCGAATAACTTGCTTCCACGCTGCTCGCTCAGTTCTAGGATCTGATTATAGCTGCGGCGGGTGGGATCCGCAAGACGCTTCTTCTTCTTCTTTTCCCGTTTAGTGGAGGGACGGACAACGATCACGGGAATCGGAGATTGCTGTAAGCAGTATTTGGAGACGGAGCCGGGCAGCAGGCCTTGGACACCACCCAAGTTACGGCCACGGGTGCCAACAATCAGTACGGAGGGCTCGTAGATTCGGATCTTCTTCTGTCAGCTTGTCCTCAAGGCACCAGGATCAGGACGAGGACCAACGTACCATGCGCTGAATGATATCCTGGATTTTCCCCACCGCCAGTTCCAAGACTAGGCTGATTGCCTTCTCGTCCTGGCTATTCTTCTGGATCACCTGCTCGAACAACTTCTCCGCTTCTTGGCGGTACTTTCCCTCCTCAATTGCGGCGTCGCTTGCGATGGTGGAGTCCTTTTCCACGGCTCGAAGGCACACGATCTCGTCGCCATCATCCACCAATTCGTCAATGAGCCACTCCAGGGCAAAGTCGGAATAATCATTCTGATCCGTACCACATAAAAAGGTCCGACTGCGCCGGGTAGACTGATACCCCTTGTGTTTGTAATTCAGAGTCAACGAGAAGTCCGCCGCGTCAGGATTATCGAATGTATTGAAAGAAACACCTCTTTCGTAGGTTCTACACAAATGCGGACGCGAGTTAGCGATGGCACAAGTAGAGAGAACCAGCATGATCGACTTACCGAGGTGGCGGAGGCGAAGGACCTCTCCCAGCGGCTTTCTGTTCTTTGTCCGGCGCTTCTTGTTGTGGCCAGCGCCCGCCGACGGCGCTCGTAGACCGACGGTGCTGACCCTGTGGCTCGGCCCCGCCAATGTTGAATTGGATCGACTTCCGACGGGGACTATCCGCCGTGGATGAAATGCGTGAATGCTGGGATGAGTGTTCGGAAGCGTTGGATGCGCGCTCCTCGCTATCGAGGGAGCTTTTGGGGGTGGAACTCATGATGCAGCGTGGGGTTCAATAGCGCTATCGTGAGCGTAGTCGTGGATGGGAGAGTGTTATGTTTGTTTGTTTTCCTGGAAGTAATGTGGCCGGACTCAGACACTAAGAGGCTTGTGATGTCGCAATGCCTGTCTGCGTACTTGGAAACGATCCGGATCGATCAGGTCGCAACTCAGCCACCGTGAAGCTCCTGAAGTGCTGCCAGTGGAGTGATACGGAGGACGCTGGGCATGGTTTGCAACGGAATCGGCTGGAGCGCCCTTGAGCAAGGGAGTTGGGGTTAACCTTCAGACAGGAACCCGCTATCAGAGAGTATAGTCGTATAGTCGTACGGTTACTACCAGAAGAGCCTCTTACGAGCAGTTTCCGGATGCAGCAGGAGAACCACGGGGGGGAGGGGCCAAGGCGGTGAGACCCCCTGGTCACGTTGGGTTGACATGTGAGGGCCCATGATCACGCTTTCCGACCGAACCCTAAGGAATTCTACTGAGGACTACTACTAGTGTTCGAGGAGGGTTTGAATGATATCCCATATCGATCTGTTATTCAGGTGGAAGGGCGCAAGGGCTGACTGGATGTTTTACATAAAGTACAGATGCGATTTGAACCAAACAAAATAAACATGGTCATCAATAAATTAAGATTCATCAATACCCTGGATATTGCTACTAGGATTAAAAATTATGCTTATGATGAGATAATCGATGTCATAGTTATGCGCTAGTATAAATCACGGAGGTTCACCTCGCCTCTCCGGACTGACTGAAGAATGTCAGTTGAGCAAAGGGAAAATCCAACCGAAACAGGAAATGAAGCCAAAGGAGAAGAACTCACGATAGTACATTCCGAGGATCCGAACAAACAATGTATGGTGACTCAAGCTCCCAGCTATTGAGGTCAATCCTCGGATCGCACGGGAGTCGCGGCGTCCGAATAACCTTCATTTTTTTTCATGGCAAGACGGTCCTTCGGAGGTTTTTGCCCGCGTTCCATTGATGATCTCCACTTTTGAGGACCATCTTATCAGCGGGAGACTGATGGCACAGCCACCCAGCCGAATGTGCCCGTCCACCCCCTCTCTTTGAACGACCGTGAGGCGACGACCACGACCAAGTGACTTGTCTCTTGCTGACTGTCTCGACCAGTGATCCGCCGGCTGATCGCCCATGTGATTCATCCAAGTCAACTGGGCGGTGTGCGCGGGTGCGGTGCCGCGTTAATGGATCGGCGTCTTGGGTCCTGGTCTAGATTGTCAACTAGTTCCGTATAGTCACCATAGTCAGCCCAACTATTGGGTCGGTACCTAAACTAGTCCTGAGCTAAGAGAGAATCGCTATCAGCCCCTCGACACCGCGGACCATCTACCGACTGCAGAAAAGGACCCTGGAGAACATGCTGGATGTATAGGATGGGAAATATGAACTAGGATGGAGAGTAGAAAGGATTATTCATATCATTTCTTTGATGTGAAGACTATATATAATTCTAAACTAAGGTATATGATATGCATCGTCGTCGTCAAGACATTCATGGGCACAGGGTATGCCTGGCCAGCAGGTGGGGAACGCAAAACAAAGCCCCATATGAGAGTAGAGTATCCAACAATGCCCAATCATTTAGGCACGTTAGGTCTGAACGCCAGTAAGTCCAGACCATGCCCGGTAGTAAATGCAAAAATCGCCAACAATATATAATTTTTTTTGCAGCCCAAACGCCATACCCGCTGAAATAAAGATGTATCGCTGAAACAAATCCAAAACCAAACCCAAGAATGTAGGAGGGGTATCACAAGAAGGGTATATACATCGATGCAGTCGTCAATCAGCGAGGGCGTTTAGTAGGCCTCAATAATTGTATTCCGCGAGTTGCTCGAGATGTAGTACCCATCTTCAAATCCATTTCCCGACAGTGGAAGTTCGGTAGCTTCAGCTTCCTTCTCAGAGAAGGTGTCCAGCGTGGGTTGCGGGGGGGAGGGAGGCATCGATTCCTCCTCCGACTCCTCATCGGAATCGGACGACAGCTCGGGCGGAATCTGTCGTGATGGAGACCGAGTCAAGGTAAGCTCCTCCAAGTCCTCCGCGTCATCGTATTCAAAGTCCGAGTCGGAGTCGGAGTCGTAGTCCTCCTCGATTTCTTTCTCCCGAACAATGGCCACCGGCGATGGGGCGCGCCGGCGAACAGGTGTGTAGGCCGGCTCATACTCGTCTTCCTCCACGTCAGAATCATCACTCAGGTCGGAGTCGGAGGCATCCTCTGGATCCCAGTCCTCTTCGGGATCCGCCACGACGCTTTCGGCCCATTGGATGTGGCGGGATTCAGATGGGGAGCCCTTGGTCACGCCGTGGACGGTCTGGTTGAACCAGCGTTCTTGTTCTTGTTCGGCATCGGCAAGTTCAAGCATCAAGGTATCGAGGAGGTTGGCATGACCAACCAAGAGGCGCAAGTCATGGTCCGCCCGAGAAGCTTCACGGGTGAGCTTCTTGCGGGCGGCGTGGGCGAGGTAGTATGTTTGAGTGATACTCATTTTCTTTTGTTGACGCTTCCGGGCGAGGGAAGTGAAGTAGGCGCTGGGGGAGGATGTGTGATAGGAGGAGGAGAGGGGAGAGGGAGTAGAAGTAGTGGTAGTGGTGGTTGAGAAAGTTGTGGGGTAGAAAGAGGACCCCATGGCGCAATCTCGGGATGTTGATGTGCTTATGAGCTCAAGTTTCGAATGCCCAGACTGGATGATGACTCGTCCGTTCCCACTGTGACTCAGGCAGACCTACTGTTTCCGGCGAGGGTAGATCGGCCAATGAGCGTTGTGGATAGGGGGCGGTGAGTCAGACGGCAACAAGGCGCAGATCAACTAAAATGGATCCCTTATCGGGTACCTTCGTAGCCCTAGTACGAAGTTGAGGAGGCAAGGTATCAATTCTTTCAGGTCCAATAATCTGGGACCGCGACAAAAGTACTCCAAAGCTGCACGCCGGACGCTTCAATAGTTGGGAATTGATGTCGTGTCGTGTTCTCAGGCTGGTCAAGAAATGGTGCGTCGTCTCCACTGGTTGTCTGTTCGACCACTGCAGCAATAGTCGGATCTTCTAGATGTATGTGTGGCTGATAGATGCGATAGAGATGATCAACTATCGGTGTGTAAAAAGTCACGGTAGGGGGATGCAATATTGATGAAGAATATAGAACAATAGTTTCAAACTCTGGCTGGGGAGGGAAAAGGACTTGATATATCCACTGTTGGCTGTGATTTTTAGCTTTTTTTTTTTATTTTT